CAAAATTGATTCTTTTGTCCCTAAGCATGCTTCAGACTGCATTTGGTTTTTGTCAAAATCCTTCTATTGGTTGAGAAGAAGAAGAAGATATCCAGTGGATGTATAGTACCACATAATGTATCACGCTATCAAGAAAAATATGAAATATTTTCAAAAATATGCATGCACATTTTTTCACCCAATCGAGATTATGTTCGATAGAAAAGTAGCTGATATTGTAAAATATGATATACCCAATTTTGTTTCAGATATTTTTAAAGATTTACCTATTTGGCCCCGCCGCTCTGCCCCCAGGGAGACCATACCCTCCGTTTATACAAAACTGAGAACCCTTTGGCCAATGATGCTCCAGACCAAATTTGGTTAAAATCCCTTCATCGGTACAAAAGGAGAAGGATCTTTGATGTTTTCCTCTATTTCCCCATCTGCCCCAATGAAGGGGGTCCACACACCTCAGTTTATACAAAATTGATTCTTTCGTCCCTAATCATGCTTCAGACTGCATATGGTTTAAATCCCTTCACTTGTATAATAGGAGAACAAAAATCCTCTATTTTCCCTACTGGGCCCCGCCCCTTCGCCCCCAGAGGGGCCACACCTTCCGTTTATACAAACTTGAGTCTCCTTTTCCAAAGATGCTCTAGGACAAATTTGGTCAAAATCCTTCTTTTGGTTGAGAAGAAGAACATCTACCTATTTTCCCCCTATTTGGCCTCGCCCCTCTGCCCCCAGGGGGTCCATACCCTCCGTTTATACAAAACTGAAAACCCTTTGGCCAATGATACTCCAGACCAAATTTGGTCAAAATCATCTGAGCCGTTCAGAACTAGTAGCGTTTTAAAGGAAAAAGTTGACGGACGACGGACGCTGCGCCATGGGATAAGCTCACTTGGCCCTTTGAGCCAGGTGAGCTAACAATATAGATGAAGATCTTGAACTGATTTTTGATGGAAATATTTTGAATTCTAACAGTATGCACAGGCACCTTGGAGTAACATTCAATTCAGATGCAAAATGGTCAGATCATGTTAGTGAAATCTATAAATCAGTATGTTGAAGCGGGATGCTCTCTTAAGAATTTACAGAACTTATATATTCTCAGTTTTAGAATATGCATGTGAGGTTTGGGATGGATGTACTCTGGTCGATTCTGAAAAGTTAGAGTTAATGAAAGCTAACGAATCATTATATACAGAAACTGGTCTTGAATTACTTTCGGATAGAAGAAGAAGACGAAAACTTCAGTTAATCTACAAAATGGATAGGCATCAAACCCCGAACTACCTAACAAATCTACTTCCCACTAAGGTAGGAGAAAACCGACATGCTCTTAGAAATGATGATAACTACAAAATTCCCAATTTTAGACTCTCTACTACTAGTTTATATTTCTTGCCTTTTTCAGTAACAAGAGGCCCAATCGCTGCATCGCTCACCTGGATTTAATCTCACACTTGTAACCTTAAAAGTATTCTAAAATAAAGCTTACAGGCAAAATATCAGTATTACAACTATGTCATTCAAAAGAACATGTTAAAAGATTTAAACACATTTGACCCCTGTCACCTTGAAAGTCGAACAAGGTAATTAGGTTGAACAAATTGTATGGCCCTTCATCTCAGCATGCAACTTGCAAAATATAACCACCCTACACCTTGTTTATTGAGATTAGGTAATTTAAATGTTCATACATATTTGACTAAATGTGACAATGAAAGTGGGTCAGGTCAAGGTCATTCAAATGAACCAGGAAGCCATCAGCCAAATATGAAGGTTCTATACCTTTTAGTTTTCAGAAGAAGTCATTTGATGCTTTTGCCATATTTGACCCTGTGACCTTGAAAGGAGGTTAAGGTCATTTTCATTCTCAAACTTTGCCGAACTCTATCTCAGGAAACCATCAGCCAAACATGAAGATTCTATACCTTTTAGTTCATCAGGAGAAGTCGTTTGAAGAGTTTGACATATTGGACCCCTGTGACCTTGAGAGTAGGTCAAGGTAATTTTTATTCTCAAACATTGTTGGGATCCATCCCAGGAAGCCATCAGCCAAATATGAAGATTCTATACCTTATAGGTCTTCAGGTGATTTTTGAAGTTTTTGACATATTTGACCCCTGTGACCTTGAAAGTAGGTAAAGGTCATTTTCGTTCTCAAACTTTGTTAGGCTCCAACCAACCAAGCTTTCAGCCAAATATCATGACTCTAGGCCTGTCCGTTTTTCAGAAGAAGTTGTTTAAAGGAAAAGTTGACGGACGAGGACGGACGACGGACGCCAACCATGACATAAACTCAGCTAAAAACGTGGAATACTCTAGACTATAATATTAGATCCATGTCTTTCTCATCTTTCAGCTCTAGTCCCCAACATACCATATACAGTACCCCCTCATTACCTACGTGGTGACAGAAAACTTAACATTCTTCATACCAGACTAAGACACGAATACAGTCCTCTCAAACATGATCTTTACCGGGCAAACGTGGTCCAAGACTCCAATTGTATAAATTGTGGCTACCATTGCGAAAATGCCTATCACTTCTTCTTTGAATGTAAACCATATACAAATGCTCGTACTGTTCTTTTTTTATCATATAAATAATTTAAATGTACATTTAACGTTAAGATTATTACTGTTTGGAAATGAAAATCTGGCTTTGGATACAAACTGTGATGTATTCAAACAAGTGCGAAAATATTAAGATGCTTCCTCTTTGGGGCCCGGTCTTCCTAGCCCCAGGGGTCAACCCAGCCACATTTATTTAGGAAATGATTGCCCTCCCCCAATGAAGTTTCAGAGCATATTTGGTTAAAATTGTCTCCCCGGTTTTTAGGAGATGAGTTTTAAAGCAAAATTTTAGCTAAGTTCCCCTTCAGGGCAACGCCCCCTGGCCTCAGGGGTCGAACCAACCTCATTTATTTAAGAAATGATTGCCCTCCTGTACCGATGCTTCAGACTAAATTTTCCCCTTTGGGGCCGGGCCTTCCTAGCCCCAGCCTCGTTTATTTAGGAAATGATTGCCCTCCCACAATGAAGCTTCAGAGCAAATTTGGTCAAAATCGTCTCTGGGGTTAAGGAGAAGATGCATTTTAATGATTTTTTTAGCTAAGTTACCCTCAGGGCCTCAGGGGTCAAACCAACCTCATTTTCTTAAGAAATGATTGCCCTTTCCTCTACTGATGCTTCAGACTTAATTTTCCCCTTTGGGGTCCGGCCTTCCTAGCCCCAGGGGTCGAACCAGCGTCATTTATTTCAGAGCAAATTTGGTTAAAATCGTCTCTGGCGTTTAGGAGATGTGATTTAAGGTAATAGGATTGTGTCACCATTTCTGAGTAGAATTTCTTAAAATTTTGTAGTTATATTGATATGAAGTAAAGAAAATTTTCTGCCACAAAAAAAAATAAAATAGGTTGTCAGAATTTTAAGGATTTTAAATGGAAATTTATGTAAAAAGGAGTGAATTTAAAAAAAAAAATCAAAGACACAATTTTAGTTTTTTCAAAACTATTGTCAATAAAAATGTTACTGACATAGATTAGTATTGCATTAATGTATATCAATTTCATAAATGCGGAAATTGTGTAAAATTAATTATCTATAAACGATTAAAATTTGACATTATATAATAAAACCATATATACATAGTAATTGCATGTAAGAGTAATCGTTCTTGAAAAACTTCACAGTAGTAAAATAGGTAGCCGGTTTCCTGAAGTACCGAAAAATGGAGACATGCGACTCATTGATTAAAAAAACCTGAACCGATACCTGGATTGCTTTGAAATGCTTCAATTTTGAAAGAACACACTGATCTGTCAATAATAAACATACAATATTCATCAGTTTAATATTAACCATTAATGNGGGGGGTTGAATCAACCTCATTTATTTAGGAAATGATTGTTGCCCTCCCCAAATGAAGGTTCAGAGCAATTTAAAATCGTCTCTGGGGTTAAGGAGGAGATGCGTTTTAATGCAAAACTTTAGCTAAGCAGGTGTCGAACAAACCTAATTTATTTAAGAAATGATTGAGAGTCCCTACCGATGCTTCAGTCCAAATTTGGTTAAATCCTCTTCGGCGTTTAGGAGATAGGTTTTAAAGAAAAAGTTGACGATGGACGCTGCACCTTGGCATAAGCTCACTATGGTCCTTTGGACCAGGTGAGCTAATAAACCAGTTTTATGTCTGCATTGAAAGCAAGAATAGGTCAAATGCCAAATCATTGTACCATATAGCTGTCAGCTCAATATCTTCTGGAGTAAAGAGCTTTGTTGCTGGTCATTTTGGCAAACCGTATTTTTCAACTTTTGATAACTGAACAGCGTATCGCCTACAGTTCCTGCATCTCAATCAGAAACGAGAGCCTTTGTTCAAGATAAGTCCAATGTTTACAGAGCTTCGGGACTTTTGACAGGGTAAAGTGTCGCGGAAGCAGACAAGTCCCGTTTTCTTTTCTTGGTTTATAAGAAGCTTGTTAAACAAAGTGCATGTTGTTCAGCCACCCAAAATGTCAATGACCTTAGCTGTTATAGGTCGTGAAATGTGTCGGCTGTATTTTTATTGACAGGTTATTTTTTGCAACTAGTGTGTTAAAAGACGAGTACTTGTGATGTCGGATCATGCGATCTCCCATATAGGTCCACATATTTGTGTTCAGCTGCGAACGTTTAATACCGAGTGCACAAGGTTTATTTCCATTTAACTTCCAATGTATTCGATTTTAACACCAATATGGACGATTTCTGGTGCATACTGTTTTTGTAATTCATCTTGAACCGTCCATGCATTATTTTTAAAGTCGGGGTCGAGGCAGATCAGGGTTGAAGACCAATTGAGAAATGCAACATATCCCGATTGTATTTTTCTTTCTAATGATCTCGAATTGATTTTAAATTACAAATGAAGTTTTACAAATGGTAGTCCAAACATTCTGGGTGAAATGCAGCATTTCTCTGTCTAGTTCCTTTAGACCACATAATGAACACGAACAGTCCAGTAAAGGTAAAACAGTTTATTTTTTCGCACATTTTGCAAAATAAACCCGAAGTTTAATTGCCACATCTCAAATAGATCATTAGTTTATGAAAAGGATATCATAATGTTACGATCATACTAAGAGGGAGGGGAACCTGTTTAAATACCACATAAAAAGTCTGCACTTCAAAAACATAGACATATCCCTTGATTAACGGCTTACCTTGCGTCAGACAGTCACTATGAGCTTAGAACACGTGTACCACACATATATTACAACTGTACTAGACATATACCACTCTCAATGATTACAGTATCATCAATATTAATACTCACCTGTTAATAACGTGTTGTGTAATATAGTAGGAACAACATATGTATGTATTTAAATGTGAACCAATCAAGCAGTGTACTATGAAGGTATGATATTAGTCGTTTTACATCCGATAATTAATTATCACAGATGGGAGACACAAACACATGTTTATTATACCTAGCGCAATATTTTCTATTTTCCATGATAAAAATTCATCATCATCATCATCAATTAAAATAACAAAATGGCACACAAATTTTGATACAAAGTATTTATAAACATCCTTATAATGCTTGCAGAATTTTAGTTTCCGAAATAAAACACAAACTCCCTGGGTCTGCATCATGTAAGTCAGCAACGGGTAAACATTGTCTCTAACAGTCCCCACCTTGTATCGCCACCTCATATCTAGCTTGCATTGCACGTCATGAAAATAATGTTTTCACATAGCAGCATAAAAAAATCTCAAGGTATATTATATATGAAGCACTTTGAAGAATACGATTTCCATGTCTCTCAATATATATATAAAATGATGTTCATTCAAAAAGTTAAATATGTTCAATAATGGCATCAACAGGTCAACAATTTTTCTTTGTATGCAAAACATATTGTTTATAATATATCAAAATGGGAAGTTTTGAGTAAGTCATTCATAATGGGCAATATTATTTTCAAGTATCAATTTGTTGGTCCTAGATGCACAATTCAACAGTTTATACATGTATATGCATGTCATATTATCTACAGTGCTGTATAAAGGTCATTTATTAAAGAGAATGAACATATCTTGTCAGCAAATTTAGGAATGAGTTGGTGAGGACAATTTTAACATGACATAGTACAAGAACGAGTCAACGGTTGCATCAACATAAAAAATCTACCTAATATTGGAACACTGCAATATAATACAAGATATTCTTCTACTCATACTTCATAAGTTTTTTTTAAGACAGCTTGATCCCTGATATTGTTTAAGATACGTAGCATTTCACTATCACAGTCCAATTATATTCGCATTTAAATTCTAAATCTACATTATCTTGTACAAGAATTATTTCCTGAAGACGCACAGTAATTAGCATTTTTATCAAAGTCATATGTTTATGCAAGGAAACAGGTCATGCACTACAGCAATACAAAAACATGGCACAAGTGAAATTGGTATTACAGTCAAATGTCTGATCAACATAGAAATTCATGAAATATTGAGACAACTCTTATATTTTCCAGAGAAAAGACAAAAAAAATATTGATTATCGAGCAAACAAGATTATAATTTTTCTCTTTAAACTGAACAAAAATAATGCATACACGTTTAGGAAAACAAATCAAGATAGCCTATACATGGAATTCAGAATGATACTTTTAATTTTGTCAACATAGTAGTGCAAAATGAATACAAAGGGATAATACGTTGAAATGAGTTTGCTGCCATGGTCTAGCCCCGATCAGCCTGTCTGCACCATTCAGGACAGCCGAGAGCCTGTGCAACCTGCTACCTAACGAGACAGAGAGGTGTGTTATTTGTATTCTTTTTCATAGTATTAAAACGCTTCAATATTGGACAGAAATATAAACATTAAAAAAAAAAGAATATTATCATGGAATAATCAATATCATCTCAGCAATGCAAGCAATATATGTATCAGGTGACTAGCCAATTTATTGTTCTTCAAAAAAATAATAAAAATACTAACCTACATCATATCATAATCTGTCAGACAAGTTACTTCTCATAAAATTATCAATGGAGCAAAAATATCGTTATCTATCTACACATACCCCTTCTCCCCTACAGTTTTCCCTTATGGACAAACCAAAACATATGTAGGCCAGGTCCTTCTAGGATAAATAAAGGGAAGAAAGGGCATATAGTCATAATTGGGACAAAGACTCACAACCAGTATGCTTTGGTGGTAATGATCTGTTTGTAGTAAAAGAACAGGCAAGTATTAAATTATCAATTTCTTTAGATCAATGATACAAGTTTCTAGGTGTCATATGTTGTCTTTTGCATCTCCAGCATCTGCCTCCTCTAACCGAACCCTGTCTTTGTTCCAACATCATCTCCGCTAAAGACAATGTATGGATCAAGAAAACGATAAGGCAAAAATATCAATGTTTAAAACATTTATTATTTTCCTCCAAAGTCATACTTCACCTGGGGAGACCGGTCCTTGGTACACACGTTTCGCCCTTGAAGGGTACATTTAGATACATAGTATTTCACAGCACAAAATTTACATGCTCAAAAAATATGACTGGTAGTGACGTATACATGTGCCGTAAGTATATACATAATTATGTTCACAATATTAATCTAAAAAATTTAATAAACAATCAATCCTCAATCTAGTAAAAGCATATTAATTCAAAGACAAAAACCAATGACAGGTATAATGCTACAGAAACCATTTAAAACATGAAAATACAAAGTGCTAACTAAGCAAATATGATGAACTATTATACAACTATCATCATCAACATCATCGACTTCATTATCATATCATAAAGAGTAATAGTTTCAAACAATGGCATTTTACAAAGTTCACAATGTTATTCATGGATAAAAATTAGTGATTTGTATACAGGAGACTTGGCAGCTCGGTCAGGTCAACGAAAACAAAGACTACGAGATACAATTTCAAAGATGCACAAAAAATAATACGAAGACTATCAATGTAATGTTTTAAAAATAGAGCAATGTAGTACGACACATAAACGTACACATATTTGGCATTTTTTCATCAATCTAATTATAAAACCTGAAGCATTTTACATAAGTATGAATAAATTTATCTTTTAAACATTATTATTACAAAAATGACTCATATCATCATAAAAATTTTAACAGTGACTTAACCATAAACCTAGTACATTATTGTCAATATTTATGTTTCCAAACAATATAACATTAAAGTATTCACATATCTTTATATCTAAACATAACTATCATTTTGCATACATACAAGTATGATTTTCAGTTCAAAATACAATGTAGAGTTAAATAATCATAATGTAGTTCTTTGAGCGCCTGAGCATGAATTGTCTTATAACAACAATGTAACTTATGACATGAGAAAAAAAATTATCAAGTGAGATATTTCAATTATAAGTTTAGCACAATTTATTTATTATCATATTGTCCACTAAATATTTTGTTTCTTAATCCATCTTACTCAGACATGTTACATACAGTCAAAAAATATTTTGATTTTAAGTCACATTATCATAAAGGTAAACTAGTAGCAATGAACATACTTCATGAACATAAGAGAAAATTATAATAATGCAAGTTTGGAATGTGTAGTTCACTAAAAGAAATTAGTTACTTACATCTACGAAATATTGCGATGCTGGATTCATGGGTTACCAATAAAAACAAAAAAACTGACAGAAGAGAATTTGATGAACGAGGAAGTGATTGTTTATGATGATACGATAATTATATAAGCCCGATACAAACAGTGATTTTACAAGAATACCAATACAAAGATGACTGTCTATAATATATATCTAGATATTAAACACAAAACTATTAAATGGAGATTAAAATAAGAAAATCAAGGAAAAGAGCACATCTTTTGTTAGTTATCTTATAGGTGTCAGAAGCCATAATGTAGTTTTTAAATCTTCTGTCATCAATTGAATTTCTGTCTGAAGTGTGTGAGATATAATATCTTGTCCCTTTTTCCAATAATTATCCACCAGATGTCCTATACAAAAAATAGAAAAGGAAAACACAAAAACATAACAATGTGATCACCAATGATATTTCCTTAATGATATTTCATCTACCATCTTGAGGTCAAATTGCTTTAAGAAAAGTCCAACAAGAGAATTTGACCCCAAGATGTCAAAACATCTAATTACAGATTACAATCTCTTCTATAAACAGGTTCTACATACAAATTTCCATGTACCTTTTCGCTATAGAAATGCATTGCTTTCTATTTTGTTGTACATCACATTAACAAAAATTCATTTTTTTTTTTTTATTGAATTTGACCTCAAGAAAAGATAATTATCATTAAAACTAGTAGTTGTTAATTTTCTGGGTGCTGGTCAGCCTCGTTCCGTCATATGCAAGCTTACAGGGGAAATGGTCAAATCTTAATAATTTGTGCTTCCTAAACATTCTGACAAGTTGGGAAGATATTTTGTAGAAATTTTCAACACATTTTTTCCATTATTCAATTTAGTAGACATTATACTGTCATAGAAACTAAACTAGCTTACAAGTAACAAGAAGATAATGAAACGAGTATCAACAAGCTTGCCAAATAAAGTATTACTTCAACAAAATATTCAGCAGACGTTTTTTAAATCATTGCTTACCATATAAAACAACATCCAACTTGTCAAAATGGGACTCTAACATGACAAATGATATTTATACTTTTTAACCGAAACATAAGCCTGCAAAAAAAATAAGAAAGAAACTTATGTCAGAAGTCGTGTGGAATAAACCGGAATTTGAAAGACACATCACCCACTGATTAGAATGTGTCACGAGGTCGATGCTGGATAGCCACCTATGCAAGAAATATAAATCAAGTTAGTGTGTTGTGTGACAGAATGCTGGAGTGTAGGGAAGTGTCCTCCAATTGCTCTTGTGTACCCTATAAGAAACTTTCTACGAGTCATTTACCTGTCTTAAAGGAAAAGAAATTTGGCCATTAAATCTGTAAGATATGAAGAGTTGTATTAGTGCCATTATGTGTGGCAGAACCTTACCTGAAGCTGATAATGTGCCTAAAGATGTTACTGCTGTTGTACAGGACTAGGTCCCGCCTGCTGGCCACCGCCAGGTTGTTGGGCCTGTTGTAAGATGAGGTTAGCCTGGTAGTGCATACCCTGTTGTCTGTAGTACTCGGCCCATGCCTGACTGTAATCAGCCTGGCCTGTCTGTGGGTTGATTGCTGCAAGTACACAAAACATCAATATACAGACATGTCCCAATACATAATAAAAAGCAGACCTTTAAGTATATGACTTGTAAATTCCTCATCACAGATTTTACACACACTGAACATGTCAGATAATTACAAATCTACATAGGATTTCAATACATGTCTTTGAAATTATCACCACTCAATTTGTTCAAATCACCAAGTATCTTTGGATATCAATTAGTATATATTTTTTTACAATCTCATGCACTACAGCAGAAACTTTACTTATTTTTTCTTCATAGTTCATTATTTACTTGCATTCCCCTCAATTGATATGCAAGCTTATTGAAACAGAATCCTGCACCTGAGAATTGGGAACTATTGTCAGATAAAACAAATCTTCACATAATTCAGTACAGGTCTGTGAAATTATCATCACACAATTAGTTCCCATACTATTTAAACTTTCCTTAATGTCACTTCTTCTTACAGAGAAACAAGGTCAGCTATTCATACTAGAGTCAAGTAATTTCATGGAACAAGAAGGTAAAACAAACTCTTTACCATCACTTATGCCAATCACTTTATAGAGAAACACAGTTTGATGTTTGCACAAGATTAAAAAGGTTAAAGAACAGCGAGTCTGCCATTTGGTTTAAAATGCTTATCAAAACATTCATCTCAACATGAAATTCAATAAGCTCAGTATTTTTTATTCCATATGTAGAGGTAAAAAAAGGTATGAAATTTTGCAATGCACAGCTTTTTACATACTTGTAACTAAGAACCAACCTCTGCAACAGTACAATTGTTAGAGGTTTGTAATGTCCATATTCCTAAAAGAATCCATTACTCATTGCTTAACCCTACCCTCCCCCTTTCCTCCATAATGACGCCTCTGGAACTATTGTCAGATAAAACAAATCTTCACATAATTCAGTACAGGTCTGTGAAATTATCATCACACAATTAGTTCCCATACTATTTAAACTTTCCTTAATGTCACCTCTTCTTGCAGAGAAACAAGGTCAGCTATTCATACTAGAGTCAAGTAATTTCATGGAACAAGAAGGTAAAACAAACTCTTTACCATCACTTATGCCAATCACTTTATAGAGAAACACAGTTTGATGTTTGCAGTGATGAAATGTACTTTAAAATGTTGTTGATATGTTATCAAAATGAAGCTGAAATTCATCCATTAACATATAAAAGATGTACTTGATACAAGATGTTACAGACATACAAGTTGTCTTTTTAGAGCGACTTGTTCCTTTTCCAAGACAACACAAATATTACACACAAGACACTAGCCATCATGACATTAATATAACGCCAGAAAAAAACAGGTATAAACATACACATTTTTTTCCAAATGAGTTCTTTTTGGGCAACAGACCAAATGTTTTGAGAAGCACTCTTTTGCACAAGATTAAAAAGGTTAAAGAACAGAGAGTCTGCCATTTGGTTTAAAATGCTAATCAAAACATTCATCTCAACATGAAATTCAATAAGCTCGGTATTTTTTATTCAACATGTAGAGGTAAAAAAAGGTATGAAATTTTGTAATGCATGTCTTTTTACATACTTGTAACTAAGAACCAACCTCTGCAACAGTACAATTGTTAGAGGTTTGTAATGTCCATATTCCTAAAAGAATCCATTACTCATTGCTTAACCCTACCCTCCCCCTTTTACTCCATAATGACGCCTCTGTGTACTACCCCAGTTGAAACGTTAAAGTAAAGATGTCAATGCTAAAAAGAGAGAGGGGGGATGCTGATTTTTTTGATTTTTTTTTTTAGGAAAGTGCTGGTTTTATAAGGAGTAGTATATCATCGTAAAATACTGTACACATATCCAAAACTGATTAACAGAATTTGTGAAAAATCTTCCAGAATCTTGCTCGCATAAATGTAGTATCTGATTTTTGGGGGAAATATCGGGACAAACAGAAAGATTTTTTCAAATATTGCATACATAATAACTGGATTATTTTGTTCAAACATATTTTATTGACAACATATTGACAAAGGGATTAGTTGGTAAGTTTTTCAAACTTTTCAATTGACTTTTCCCGTAATACAGACAAATATAATAATACACAATTGTCACATGATGGTAAGAAAATAAATGTTATTCATTGAGTGAGTGAGAGAGAGAGAGAGAGAGAGAGAGAGACGGGGTGGGGGTGGGGTTGTGAGAGAAGAACCAGGAGACAGGGCGTTGGATAGAGAGGGGTGGGGTTGGTAGCTAGTCAAATCTACCCGATCTTCCCAGGAAATGCTGTGTAGCCTTGGCTAGTTTCATATTATCATTTGGTGAGATGTTGGGGTCGCCTTCGTACCTTTCTAATTAGGTAATGAGTGTTCTTTGTAAATTACAATACAAAGGCCAAATTAGGAAAAAATGAGAACAATCTTCACAGGGATGCCCACACCCGCAATCAGCTGAACCTATTAGATTTGCTCTGAAAAGATCATAATTTAATGAGCTAGCTCAATTTCTAAGACGACAAAGGAGTATATTTTCTGGGTCCATATAGTTTACGAAATGCTTGCTAAACAAATTATTAACTATCATAGACTTTTTTACATTAGACTTGAAAGATTTTAGTGAGGGTGAGTTTCTTAGTGTTGTTCAAATTGTTCCAGAATTTTAATGTGGATTTAGGAAGGAAAGACAGATTTTTTTGATAGTTGTAAACGAAAGTGCTGTTCCCGCAGTAAATGTTCATTTTGCAAATTTTACAGAGCTATATTTCCAATATACATTAGTAATAAGTCAGTAAGAAATTCAGGTGCCATGTTATTTACTGTTTAGAATAAAACAAGGAAAGTTTCCAAGCATCTTTTTTTTTGAAAGGGGTAACCATCCAGTTTCTCAATATAAGAATATTTTTTTTAGTGAATGTGGGCAGCCCTGTGACTATTCTTGCAGCTTCTAGATGGATTGTTTCTAGTAACAGGGCATTTGTTTCACCGCAGTTGTCCCATACTTCACATGCATATTCCAGTAGTGGTCGAACATAAGATACAGTTTTCTAATATATTTCTTTTTAAAATAAGTTTTAGTTTACTGGATTATTGAACACACTCAATACTTTAACACCACTAATCTTTGTTGCACTAAACTTAACTATTTATTTTAATTAACAGGTTACTACTGACGAAATTGAGGCCTTTATTGGAATCAACATCATGATGGGGATGATGCAGTTGGCATCTTACAGACTATACTGGAGTTCAGAACCCTTTCTAGGAAACACTGGTATAAGGAGTGTGATGACAGAAAATAAATTCTTCAAACTCTACCAGTATATACATGTCAACAATAATCAGACACCTATACCAAGAGACAGTGAAGGTTTTGACAAATTGCATTAAGTTAGACCAATGATTGATATGGTGGATCATACATTCAAGGACCATTACAAGCCAAAACAGAACCAGACAGTTGATGAAGCAATGGTCAAATATAAAGGAAGATTTTCAATTTAACAGTACATGCCAGGTATTTTTTGTATTTGTACACACTTTAATACAATCCTTATTGTTCTTTTATATTGGAAGTCTGAGTGTCTTTTTATCTGGTTGCATTGCATTGCTTTAACTTGTAAATATTTTGTCATTTGATTTTTTCTGTTATGTGTAATATAAACGAACAATTGACCATCATTCTAAGATGACCATTATCTTCTTAATTTGAAACATCTGCAAAAAATCATATTTTGAATTAGATCTCTCAACATTACAAAATTCATGAAAACAAATATATGTTCTTGAGAGACCTGAAAAAAAAATAGAATGTGAAGTGACATTACATGATTTTTGTTGTCCGGAAAACCAATCCAAAGAGGAATGAAAGTTTGGATGAGATCTGATTCTACTTCAGAATACTGCCAACAATTTAACATCTATATGGGAAAGGATGATCCAAACAAAGGGCCTAAACTAGGGGGAAAAGTGGTGAAACTGTTATGCAAGGACCTAAAGTGGAAACGACACCATATATATATATATGGATAGGTAATTTCTTAATTTCATTCAAAAAGTAAAAACAATGATCAATCTTAAGTATATAATAATTACACCTTGAAATATGCAAAATAGTACAATACAGGTAAATAGAATATTGACCATGAGTGTTGTACTCATGCCTACAAAGAGATGCTGTGATCATTATTCCATTAATAAAATATGACAAAACCTAGATATTAAAATAAACAACGAGAAAAACACTGGAAAAAAGAAGAAAAAAAGGACAAATAAGATTTTGAATAGAAAATGGAGTTGGGATAGAGGTTATCAAATTGTCACTCTCGTGTTATAGCTGATGCACCTGATTTTTTTGCAAACATGAATCATTGCATCAAAAATGTTACTTCTTTTATGTTTATTTTCAGATACTTCATCAGTACCACTGTCGAGGTGTTTGGAAAGGAATGGAATAAATGGCTGTGGAACAATAAAATGCACAGCATCTGGTCTGCCAGAAGACATTACAGCTCCTCCCAGGATGGCCCGAGGGGAGAGTATTGCCCGTCAGAATGGCAAATTGGTAGCTACTGTGTGGCAAGATAAAAAAAGAAGTAAGTAAATAGAAAATAATATGTAAATGATTTATTGACATATGAGGAAAATTATCAATAAAACAATGATTTAAAAAATAAAGAATTCATTTTAAATCTAATTTATTTATTACAAATGTCATACTAATTGGTTTTTAGTTACATGTCTATTTGTGAAAACTGAAATTAAACTTTTAAAAAAACATTTTGACTGATGAGAGTTTAAAACACGAGTACGGCGGAGCGGAACAATATATGCCTGTTGAATGCCATATAGTGTTATATACTGTCTTACATTGAAATAAGATCTGCATCATTCTAACAGTGGTTAGCTGACATGCTATAAAAAATGTAGAAGAAAATCTCAGTACAAAAAGTCAAATACTGAAAATACTAAGGTACGTTTCCTGTCTACCAACTCAAATCCAACCGGTGAAGGCTCCACATTTAGTAGATTGAAAAATGGCACTAGAATTGAAATTAACAGATCACTCCCTATTGAAGGTTATCATAAACACATGGGAGCTGTAGACAGAAATAATCAGCTTCGTGCTAAAACACCAGTAGGGGGGAGACCAGCAAAGAAATGGTGCAAGTATTTGTTATTTTATATGATTAACTTTATTGTAATGAATGAATCTGTTGGTTATCAACCAAGGAAAAAAGCACTATCCCTTGTTGGATTTCCGCATTGACATTGCCAAGAAACTGATCGGGGATTTCACCAAAAGGAACAGGAGAATCGTGAATCAACAACCTAACAATAATCATGTTAGTGTTAGTTTGAACAGGACGAAAACAAGATGCAGATGGTGCACGAAACATGGTAAATAGAAACAAAAAGAAACTGTGTTTGGCTGTTCAAACTGTGACATGAACAATATCATCAACATATCATGGACTGCCTTTTTTACTTTGAGCAATTTCAGTTGGTTGCTATGGATGGAAACTGTTGCTAGGGAAACATATTATGATAAAACATCCCTTTATGTTTCCTATATACATGATATAGGATTCCCCGAAAGGACGTGTTCTCCAGGTACTCCGGTTCCCTCCAACACTAAGACCCCCCCACGTGCCAACAAGAGTGATTAATATAAGTTGAAATAACTTGTTTCATAATTGTTGTTAAATAAAGTTTATATTTATTACAAGTGTCAACCCTAAATTTAGCCTATTTTCATTTTTATATGGATAAAATTGTTACCATGGCAACAAAATATATATATTTTTAAGCAGAAAATAAAGAGCTTACTTTGATATATAACTGACCAAAATTATATATATCTACCTGGTCTATTAAAATTCTATGCGAAATAGACAAAAAAAAAATCTCCATGGAAGAAATGGTTAATGTTAACAATCTTTTTTCACCATCTGGAAGAATTTTTCTGGAACTGTCAGATATCAACAAATCTTCAGACATATTCAGTACAGGTCTGTGAAATTATCATCATTTTGTTCCAATAAATATTTTAGAAAAAATAGCCTAGCTAATACTGAAAAACAAATTTCAACCCAATCTGATCTAGTATTACAGCAACAACATTACAAGGCTGTATGTATGCGAGATATTGATTGGTTTGGTCTAATTTTGTCCTATTAACAGCTATTAATACTGAATAACTTATTCAAACCAGAATCATTCCAATCTTACCTAGTATTACAGCAACAACATCACAAAGTTTATGTGTGCGAGATATTGAAACTGGAGGAATATTTGCATCCGTTAAAAGATCAATGACTTACATGGGTTTGCTGTGCCAGCAGTGTAGCCTTGCTGTGGGGGCGTCTGTCCCTGCTGCGGTTGCTGTTGTTGTGGCTGCTGTTGTTGTTGGGGAGCGTGTTGTTGTGGCTGTTGACCTTGGACACCGCCTTGACCGTACTGGTTGTGGGCATACTGATTGTAGTACTGGGAGTAGTAGGCAGCCCAGGCTGCAGCATTGTCCTGGGCCTGTTTATCTACAAGTACCACATACACAGTTACTAGCTAAATACATCATGTATATATTTCATATAGCAGAACTTTATTTATGTTGATCCATGAGGAAATACTTTCCAGAAACCATAGTAATTAACAGCTTTTACAAAGGTTCTTTTTATCAAAAAAATTCAACAGTCCAAATTTAATTATCTTTTCAAATTTGAGAAAATTACCAAAAGGCAAATACACATCTGTAGATATCACTGGACTAAAGTCTGAAGCTACTTCAAAATTTGTTCCTTTATGTAACTATCGTAACTGCATATTACATCTAAAAGCTGTTCCTCTTTGTTAATGTTAACCATTAATTACTTTGAACTGTAAGCCTTATGTTTACAACATAGTGATAAAATTTCATGCAGAAGTTATCAATAAAATTCAGCAATGCAAATCATGCTATGGAGCATCTTTGGAATGTAAATGGGAAACGTTGCAAAAAGTCATCAATTTTGCTGGAAACTCGCTTTACAATAAAATTGGAGAAATCATTGCTAAAAAAAGATTAACACTGGACCGACTTTGTATTTGGTAAGCAAGACAGAAATAAAAGTAATGAAATCTAATGATTACGATCAAATGGATACCACCATCACAATGCATACTTGGGGAAGATTTAGGGGGTATTAGTTGGAATGTCATATTTAGCATCTCATATCTTGTGCACAAGGTGTCATGGTAGAAACGGGAAGCAAAAAAAAAAGAAACAAGAAGGTTCATATTTCATATTTTAAACCAAACTTAATGGACCTTCATCAGCAAAATTCACTCGAATAAAACCAATTATAACCTTTTTTAGGTTCTTGTGTTGCAGCAAAGTCCCGAGACTGCATATCTACAATTTTAGAGAAAGACACTAATACTTTTTACTATAATATACGCATGTTCAGAAAATTATTACCTCTACACTTTTTCAGTTATATAGTAGGCAGTGGCACAAAATAGTTTCTATTTTACATTTATAGCCCAAGATATTCTTATTATGATAGGACTGATCTATCAAAGTATGAACCGATCTAGTTCAGGTTGCAAAAAGGATGTGCTTGAAAGATGGAAATAATTAACACTGTATCCATCCATCGACTTGTGCAGAAGATATGTGATGGAGGAACAGATAGGCAAAGCAAGGACTAATACTGTTTTAACATAATTCAGTAAACAAATTAGTTTTAATAACAAATTTTCAAATTGGAAAACCTTATTCATGTAATGAAATTTTAATTTTACCCATTCTAGAATAGCAGTATTATTAGAATTCCTTGCTTATTTTTATCAAGAAACTGGGACAAACCTTGAAATAACAAAGAAATGTACTTCATACAGTACTATTTGTTACTTTCATGCATGTGTATGAAATACTTACTCTGATCTGGCTGTTGTTGGTAACCCTGCTGGTAGTTGTTTCCGCCCCAGCCACCACCACCTCCACCCTGTGGCCCCTGGGGAGCCCCAAACTGGCCACCCGGTGGCTGTTGACTGAAAATAAAGAGCACAACGTTAAAATCAGGACATTGTTGTGGTGTTGTTCGAGATTTGAATGAATTTCATACATTCAAAATATTTGAGTTCAAAGCTGGAATATTTTCATAGCTACAAGATTTACAATCTTATCAATAAATGTTGAAGTATTTCTTTGAAACATAGGCTCTTCTATTTGATGTACAACTAAAGTTGATAATCAGGGTTCACACCAGCTTTTGAAATTTTGCATGCAGTAATATTTCAATAAGCCTAAAAACAAAAGTTACCATCAGGATACAGTAATCCAAGTTTTGATAGTTAAATGCTTTGTTCATAACCAGCAACATCATTATTGCACCTTTTGTTTCAATATTGCTCATTACTTATTGCGTTATGTGCCCACGTTATCTTACACAAAACTTGTATTTTTAATAAACAAATTGATGGGGCATAATTTCAACAATTTGTTTATTATTATTTAATTGCAACTGTACTGATTGTCCATTCATCATGCCAGTTTTCATAGTTCATTACACATTAGTGCAACCTATGCACATGCAGCAAAATATAATTCATCATTTCATCTTTAAACAATCTGGGTGTTTGGGATACAAAGTTCAGGTATTTCAAAGGAAAATCTATATTGTTTTCATTTGTTAGTGTTGAAAAACTACAAAAACTGCCAAGGTCTGCAGATTTAATGGTGCACATCTGAATTCTAACTTACTGTTATTTAAAAAATTCTTTTAATCATATTAAATGTTTAAATAAGCCTTGTCGCGAAAAGTGCTCCTTCAGACCTACCCCTGCTGTCCTCCAAAACCATCCCCAAATCCTCCAGGACCGCCTCCCATTGGACCTCCAGGTCCACCCTGGGGCCCTGGACCCCCAGGACCTCCCGGCCCTGGTCCACCTGATGGTGGTGGCTGTGGAAACAGATAATGGTTTTGATACAAAACACACATACAGATGTTTTTTTTAAATTTCCAGTTCCAAACACTTATATTATTATAAAATTAATCATTCATGATAAATATTTATGTTTAAAAAAACATTAAGTATTACAAGCATTAGAATATTGCTAGCTTTGTTGTAAGGTCTACTATCGAACCCCACTCATAGAATGTTGACACATTCTGGTGGTGTTAGCGAATTCCTTACTTTTATGTTGCACAAGTTGACACCTACGACACAAAAATGTATTCAAAGGTTCTAATTATGTGCTCTTTGAATGACCTTTAATCTTTTTTGCAACTAGTCCATATCTTGTTATCTTCACAACTTTTTAGTTAGCTCTAAGACAAATATATAGAGGATATTTAATGGGTGTCTTCAGTAATAACAAATATATTTCACGAGATTGGCTAATATTTTCCACATGAGTGAAAAATATCAAAATATTAGCCACACCAGTGAAATATATTTGTTATTACTGAAGACACCATTAAATTTCCTATTCATTACATTTTTAAGCATAATACATGAAAAAGTTAATGTTTTTATTAAATTTCCAGTTCCAAACACTTATATTTAAAAAATCATATTAAGTACTACAAGCATTAGAATATTGCTAGCTTTGTTGTAAGGTCTACTATCGAACCCCACTCATAGAAAGTTGACACATTCTGGTGGTGTTAGCGAATTCCTTACTTTTATGTTGCACAAGTTGACACCTACGACACAAAACTGTATTCAAAGGTTCTAATTATGTGCTCTTTGAATGACCTTTAATCTTTTTTGCAACTAGTCCATATCTTGTTATCTTCACAACTTTTTAGTTAGCTCTTAAGACAAATATATAGAGGATATTTAATGGGTGTCTTCAGTAATAACAAATATATTTCACGAGTTTGGTAATATTTTAATATTTTTCTTGAGTGCGCAGCACGAGTGAAATATATCAAAATATTAGCCACACCAGTGAAATATATATATGTTATTACTGAAGACACCATTAAATTTTCTATTCATTACATTTTTAAGCATTAACTATGAAAAATTTAATGTTTTTATTAAATATCCAGTTCCAAACATATTATTATAAAATTAATCATTCATGATAAATATTTATGTTTAAAAATCATATTAAGTATTACAAGCATTAGAATATTGCTAGCTTTGTTGTAAGGTCTACTATCGAACCCCACTCATAGAAAGTTGACACATTCTGGTGGTGTTAGCGAATTCCTTACTTTCATGTTGCACAAGTTGACACCTACGACACAAAACTTTATTCAAAGGTTCTAATTATGTGCTCTTTGAATGACCTTTAATTTTTTTTGCAACTAGTCCATATCTTGTTATCTTCACAACTTTTTAGTTAGCTCTTAAGACAAATATATAGAGGATATTTAATGGAGTCTTCAGTAATAACAAATATATTTCACGAGTTTGGCTAATATTTTAATATTTTTCTTGAGTGCGCAGCACGAGTGAAATATATCAAAATATTAGCCACACCAGTGAAATATATATATGTTATTACTGAAGACACCATTAAATTTTCTATTCATTACATTTTTAAGCATTAAACATGAAAAATTTAATGTTCTTATATTATTATAAAATTAATCATTCATGATAAATATTTATGTTTAAAAAATCATATTAAGTATTACAAGCATTAGAATATTGCTAGCTTTGTTGTAAGGTCTACTATCGAACCCCACTCATAGAAAGTCGACACATTCTGGTGGTGTTAGCGAATTCCTTACTTTTATGTTGCACAAGTTGACACCTACGACACAAAACTGTATTCAAAGGCTCTAATTATGTGCTCTTTGAATGACCTTTAATTTTTTTGCAACTAGTCCATATCTTGTTATCTTCACAACTTTTTAGTTAGACCTCAAGACAAATATATATATCTCACTATACTTACCAAGCCTGCTTTTTCACATATCAGTTGAATGGCATGTTGTATCTGGCCTTTGTCTCCTGCTCTGATTGAGAAGAGTTTTTCATTGGGATTTGGCCCTGGTGATCTTTGCAATTCCACTCGAGCCCCTGACATCTGGTTGATCTGACGAATCGTCTCACCACCTTTAACAATATTAAGAACATAGGATAGAATAAATAAACAAAACATAGGAACCATTTGACAATTATTAAATTCATGCTTCTAAAATAAGCAAAACAAGATATCCATTACTTTCACCAAATTATTGAGCTTTATAATAGGGTTCTTGCTGATTTTTGGTATTATTCCTATCATTCACATCCACTTTTGCTTATTGTATAAATGCATTAGTAATGGATATACAGCATACAAACGGTATATTATGCAACATTTTTTTTCTATCCAATCTTTTAGGCTGTATGCTGCAGTACAGGCAGAAAATGGTTTCTTGGTAATGACATGGATGAACCTGCTGTTAAATCTAAGAACAGGTTTTTTTGGCCACGTTTACATAAGAGTCGATATGTATATTCAGTCATTTTTCACCTTTTCTGTTTATCAAATGAGCCACATGTATACAAAAGTTGATAACAGTTCAACTACAGCTATATTCTAGGTCCATAGACTACACAAATGTTTGAAACTTGTTTGTTATATTGCTACTCTACGGACTTAATGAAGATTGTCTGTAACGGGAAGTCTTTAATACTGTCAAGTTCAGAAATTCTTCGATATTGGAAAAAATAGATCTGTTGACATAATTAAAAGGCGAAATATATTCTGAAAATCTTTGGGAACCCTCTTTGTGCTTGGCACACACATAAATATGTACACCTGCATCCTTACCTTTCGATTCTATGTTGAGGTAATTAAAGTTTTAATCAAAATAAAAACAAACTTAAACTAATAGAACTGCTCACCTTTGCCAATGACTAGACCACACTTGTCTGCAGGTACAGGGTAAGTGGTTTCATCTCCTCCTCCAAAACCACCTCCTCGTCCCATGCCTCGTCCTACAGGACCTCCAAACTGACCCCCTCCTCTTCCTCCTCCACGACCAAAACCTCGTCCTCGTCCCATACCGTCTTGATTATCTCTCTATATAAACAGAAGAGTTAAATTAAGATATATAATCAGACCTTTGTAATATACATCTTTCAACCAATTTTTAATAGATGCAACTGTCTTAACTGACATACTGCTGTGGTCTTCGTAAAGTTTATAATTCTTATCTATCTGAACGTTTGATTTTCGACAACAATTACCAATACATCTTGAAAGGCTATTTTATTTGTTGGAAGGTCTACTATCAAACCCCACTCACTGGATGTTAAAACATCCTGGTGGTGTTAGCGAATCCTTCCATTCTATGTTGCACAATCACTACACCCAAATCACACATATTGTCATACGGGCTTATTCTTTGTGCTAAAAAAAATCTTGGAACCTTTTTGTTATTGTGTTTAAATGTGTTTTAATCTTTTTAAGAGTAACTTAACATTATTCAAGTTCCAACATACAACATAAGTGTCATGAGAAATAACACCTCATTGAAAAAAGTCTGAATTCACAGATTATAATATGTTCACTCGGATAAACACAATGTTTACATCCCTTTTTTACTGAAACGGAAGGAGCGTATTTCATCATAGCTTATTTTAACTATGAGGTAAAAAGATGGCACTTCTGATCAGACAAACTCACTCACTGTTCATCATAGGCATAAAACATGAACATCTGTTTTCCTTTTTAAAGCCAATACATTCCTACAGTCTTAAATCTATCATGGAACATTGTTGCAAGTCCTATCAACCTAACTCATTGAAAGTTCCCACATTCTGGTTATATTAGAAAATTCCTCACATTGATGTTGCAAGTCAACATCTACGACACAATGAAGTAATTGAAGGTTCTAATTGTCCTGTTGAATGACCTTTCATATAATTCTATTATACATTCATAATGTATTTTAATGATACACAACACATGAAACAAGAATGTAGTTAGGGTACTAATTGTAAGGATTGCTATCATTTTCCCTCATTATATACTTGCATTACTAGCTTCCTGCAACAAATTCTCGATGAATTGAGCAGCCTGTTCAATTTCTGAAGAGGATCCACGGATAGAGCACATTCTCTCTGGTCGGGAATCGTCTAGATCTAAAGTGTGAAAGCAAAACAACATTATTACACTTGTCTATAACAATAAATTCATTAGGGGAAGTGAACAAATATCGATACAAACAGGTCTTTTCTATACCATAATATTAAATCATTTTATAAAATGTGTTCACACCAACGTCTTCAGGACATACATATATAGATCTACAGCTAGTAATTATGTATCAAGTCACCTGGTTTGAACTGGACTTTCGCATTGGTCTCCCTCTGAATTCTCTTGATCATATCTCCACTTTTTCCGATAACAATTCCAACGAGATTACGAGGTACTGGGATCTGCAATTGGAAAGTTTAAAAGATCAATTATAATAACATTTTTCCAGCAAAATCATTCTTATCCTATTTCAATCTTATTTTTTCATCTACTACAGATGGAGCTCAAAAACAGTGGCTTCATGTCTTGCTACCTAAGTAGTGCTGAAACATTGCTACATGGGATATACCAACATTTACCCAATGTCATCAATGGGGCAGTGTATGATACCCAGGTTTCTTTACCCATGCTTAAATCTTCAACCCAATTTGAACCAACAGTTTCTAGGCCGTATCTATACAGCATTTACAACATCACTATGTCCTTTAACTTATCCTTTTTGTGACCAAGTTGTTTGATAACAACCTAAATAGTATAGGGGAAATAGTTCCTTGATCCTTGATTGAGGTCCAAAATATGAGAGATAGTGATATAATTTTGTACAAGATACTGTACTTCCTACTTTACTCTAGAATAGCCCTGAACAATCCCCTTAGTTTTCTTTTTCTTTTAGTACTAGTGAAAGGTAACTGGTAGCCCTTTCAGTAAATAAACATGTTTAAATACTTACCTCAAATGACTGTTGCCCACCCATGCTGTTTCCAAATGAGTTGTTATTCTTAAAGCCGCCGCCACCACTACTACCAGGCTGCAAGAGAAAACATAACCAGTGAACAAATTTGAAGTGGTCAAGTTAAAAACATCAGGATTTTAAACCGAAACATTAAATCTACACTACAGCAGTTATATTTATATTATATATATACAGAATGGACAGGAAGCTTTACATTTTTGTCAATTTTCATAAATTACAAGTTTAAGAGTAATATCTTGTGTACTTGGATTTTTTTGCTTCAGCTTAACTTTCCAAATTGTTTGCCCTCATTAATCAGGCAAATTTACCGTACAGCTAATGCAAGTAAGAACAGTGTATCAGCCATAGTAAACATACTAATAACAAGATATAAATAATTTTCTGTGCGTATACAAGCATTTTTACACAAGATATGGAAGTTTCCTTCAGTATTTTTTTTTACAATTGTGTTTATCCAGCAACAAGCCCATATTTAGTATTTAGCCCAACAATATCTATTGCAGTTAAGTAGAAATGCCAACAAATGCTAATTTCCTTACCCTGTTATAAGTATACCCCACTAGTCTACTTTCAGCCAGAAACAAGCCGATTATATAGGACACTACATCTTTGATGCAGAGCCCTATTTATGTGTTGGACCCCCAGCCTTATTGCTTGATATCTAGTGTATTAATTGCATCCATCAAATTATTTGTTTTCTTAATCATGTGAATATCATCCCACTTTTGATATAAGATTTTGGGAATGTGCTGCAGTTCTGAAAAGAGTGAAAGAGCTTTTTTTAAAAAGATTTTGAAGTACTGCAGAAAGTTTTCTTTGGCAAAAAATTAACACTTCAACCCTTTTCTAATTTTTCATCATGCAACTTCCTGCATATCAGAATACATCTTGGCCAAAAGATATTAATACTTTAGAAAGGAGGACTATACACAAATAAAAAAGTAACAAAATTGGACAATGTAAAAAGGTTATCACTTACCGACTGACCCCACATCCCTCCATTATTCTGAAAAAGTGGAGGTTTAATCATTTTTCTTGGAGTCTTATAAACTTTAACTCAAATCTTGTTGGGATGAAAATGTTTGTCTTGCATAGTTCTAATATTAAGATTTTCTCCCTGAAGGAAACTGCCTTTTAAAACAATCTCGAAACAAAGATGATTTGTCTTACAAGTATTTTTGTAAAGCTTATACATGGTCATCAGATATGATCTAGCCAATATCTTCATCATACAGGGATATCATCTTGAATAGTAATTTTGATTGTAATTCATCAGTTAATTAGACTTGCATCTTTGTTTAAAACACAAAAGCTGCTATTGTTCTTTGTTGATATAGTGTGGTCTAATTATCACTATTTCCTAATTATCACAGGACTTTCACTTCTCATTTATTCCCCATTGAAACGTTTAACATTTCACTTCTTTTTCATGAAATAATCGGCTATATGAAGCTTAATATCTGTACCTCCATATCTTTCTCTGTAAGCAGTTCCATAACCATCTCTCTGGCTCTCTGAAAAAGTAGTGATGGGCAATCGGTTTAAAATCATAATCGATAATTGGTTTGTAATTGGAGGTGGTAAACCGATCAATGATTGATTGCATAATCGGTTCCTAATTTCATGAGAGCGAATACCAAAATAAAGTGAGAACACTACCGTAAGATCAATAGACAGAGTTGTTAACTATACACTCTGTTTTGTTCTTTGATAATGAATGGATTTCAAGCAATTTTTATGCAGTTTTATCAATCATATAGTAACAAGAGGCCCAAAGGACCTGTATCGCTCACCTGGATATCAAAGTAATCATGGCAAATATTCCACATAAGATCCAAAGGAATGGGCCAGATCCTATCTGTATTAGATTTTTCATGCCCAGCAATTTTATGTATGGTTATGGGGTGGGGATCTCAACTGTTTCCAAGGTGTGGCTCAGAAACTAGGTCCCTAGGGTTATGGCCAGACCCCGGGGTCAATTCTAATATCATGATTGCATTCGTCTCTTTATGCCCAACAATTGTATATATAGTTTTGGGGTGGGGATCTCAACTGTTTCAAAGTTATGACCCAGGGGTTTAGTCTTTAAGAGTGGAGCAGACTCAGGAATAAATTCTTATATCATGACTGCATTCGTTTCTTTATGACCAGCATTTGTATATACAGTTTTGGGGCAGGGATCTCAACCGTTTCAAAGTTATGAGCCAGGGACTATGTCTCCAAGGGTGGGGCCAGACCCCTGGGCAATCCTGGGAGCATATGTGCATTCTTCTCTTAATTCTCAGCATTGTATATATGGTTATAGGGTGGAGATCTCAACCATTTCCAAGGAATAAACTAATTTTGGCCCCACCCTTTAGCTGAAGAGGTCAGCTTGTACAAGTCATTATAGCAATATAGCCAATTTACCCTTTTTGGCACTACCCCTCAGCCCCCTGTGGTGACAGTCCCAACATTTGTACAATTTTGAATCCCCACCACGTAGGGATGCCTTTTAGTTGTAGAGTAGAAGTCGCGTCAAGCAATATAGCCCCTTTTGGCCCCACCCCGCAGCCCCCTTATGGGTCAGTCCCACCATTTGTACAATTTTGCATCCCCCCTACCTAGGGATGCTTCAAGTAGAATATGTTTGATATCCATCTTCCAGTTCCAGAGGAGAAGTCGCATAAGCAATATAGCCAAATTGACCCCTTTTGGCCCTGCCCCTCAGCCCCCTGGGGGGTTAACCCTACCATTTGTACAAATTGACCCCTCAGCCCCACCATTTGTAAAAAAAATTGATACCCGCCTCCCATGAATGCTTCGGATGCTTCTGGATGCTTCCATTAAAATATGGTTGATATCCATTGCACAGTTCTACAGAAGAAGTTGTTCATAGCAATATAGCAAAATCGTCCCCTTTTGGCCCCGCCCCCTGGGGGGTTATCCCTACCATTTGTACAATTTTGAATCCCCACCACCTAGGGATGCTTCCAGTCAAATTTAGTAAAAATTCTAATCAGTGGTTAAAAAAAAGAAGTCATTTGAAGAAATTGTTGACGTACGGACAACACAGTATGGCATAAGCTCACCTTGGTCCTTTGGACCAGGCAAGCTAAAAATCATAAGAATATATGACTTTCAATACATTTTCCACACTGAAAACATTTAACACTTTGATTTTAAATAAAGAACAAATTATATCAGTGGACTTTGTAATCGATTAATCAGAATCGGAAAGGGCAAACCGATCATAAGATTATAATCGATCATCAGCCCATCACTAGAAAAAAGACATTGCTTCATGTTAATTTATCTGTCAATCAAGCTTCAATATTCTGGAAAAAGAAAGTTCCATGCATTAAGTCAAAGGCTCAATGTAACCAACATTATTATTTTTCTCTCTCTATTAAATATAGCAGTATTATTCATATTAATAATTTTTCAATTTATTTTGAAGTTTGTTACTTATTTGAGCATTATTCTAGCAATCTATTTCAATGTTTTCGAATATTCCCTTACAAATTTCAGAAATTTATTTATAAATGTCGAATTATTTCCTCTAAAAAAAATGAGTGAATAAATATATCATTGACAAATTGTCACTTACGTTACACTTGTTGGGTTCCCCAGAGATCCTGAGGGGCTTTTCCATGGATGATGGGATGTTGCTGTCTTGGATCATGACCATCTTAACACAAGCTCGCTCCTGCATTTGTTTGATATTCTCACCTCCCTTGCCAATGATTAGACCTACTTTGTCTCCAGGGATCATCATCTCGACAACAGTGTTCCCCTCATTATGTCCCATAGGGTCTCCAGGGTTGGTCTGGCCTTTCATGATAATGTCCTGCATCTGTTGTTTACACGATCTGTAATATATAAAACACTTGAGTAATGAAAACATCACAATATAAAATATTATGCAAATCCTTGCAGTTTGATGATCAATTATACCAACAAAAGTAAAATTTCTTTGGTTTTATCTGTTTGCAGATTTGAATTGCTCAGTGAAATATTGTTCAACACATGGGGACTGCAATCAACACAAAATATGTTGTATTTAGGTAATTCATTCATATCTTGAAATCACTTAACAGTGGCTTCTTTATTGACTCCAAACCAATTATTTTTGATCAACAAAACTATCAATTGTATTTGCCAGTAGAATCTTTGATCTTAAAAGCTGAGTAAGGAATCTTACGCAATAGATCCAGGAGTTCCTGTAAGGGTGCAAGGCCTGTCAGGGGAACCACCACTGTCTGGAGCGATCTGGATTTTGCATCCAGTTTCTGCCTGCAACCTTGTAATCTGTTCACCACCTTTACCAATGACTGAAAGCAAAAAAAGCACAATCTCCATAATGTAATACTATAATTAATAAACAGACTGTGTAAACATCATCTGTGCCTCCCTATGAAAATAAGCAACAAAGTTAAGACTGCTGATAAAGTTTCGAACTTTTTCATTTATCTGAAGTGCATGTAGATTCTTACTTTTCTCCCTTTGGTCGATCATATATCTTAAAAAGAACATTTCCAATGTTTTATCGAAGTCTTCTACAGAAGGTTTCTCCTTGTTTAACTTTCGGTGTCTTTGTAATGTTTCTGGAATATTTTCTTTAATCTAAGAAGAACAGTGTCTTTCTGGAATATTTTCTTAAATCTTATAAGAACCTTAAGTGCGCGAAATCAACAGTAACCTCATATCTATTACTCTCAGGCTGCTACATTGATTTCTATGTAAAGGGACACCACTGTTGAATTAATTATTGAAATATAAATTAATTTACTTGATTTTTCAAATGTGTATAAAAGTTATATGAAAATTGTTTGTTATTGTCTCTAGTTTATGTTAACGTTTTCAATTCTAAAGTTGCTTCAGTATTTACCTGTACAGATGGTTCAGGTAACAATGGTAAAAAAAGGTGAAACTTTTAATTAATCGGATTTAAGCACGAGAAAGATCATTTTAAAATTATTTTTGTCAGCAAATGTGTTTGGCAAAATGATAACCGATATTATAAACTTCATTTTTGACATTAGACGCTGTACTTTACACGGAAACTCTCTGGTAAAAAGGTCAGGAATTTCATCAAGAATTGTATGTGATTTGCTACAGGTTTCAGGTCATCATTAAATATATTTACTGTCACAGTCGGCTCAAAACGAATCAATGTCAATGTTCGATTCGGCCTCACCTACAGACAACATGTGCGCCTCGGTCCGCCGATATTTTCCTGTTTGCATAGGGCACAAAGCCGTTAATTGGAAAGCTACATATTATGTTACACCGAAGTATTTCGACATCAACCATGTGAAACCCTTCAAAACCTTTATCACCATCGTAGATGATGGAAAATTAATGTTTACCATCATATTCATCGCTTCAATCTGCACGTCCGCCATTTTTATGACGGTTTTCCCCTCGATTTGAAATTCTCTCGCACACCTTTGGTCATTAATTACCAGGGTACACTGCCGGGAATATCGAAAGTAATGACAAAACAACCAATCAGAAGCCTAGTACTATACACATTCGGGTTTGGTATAGCAACAACCCGACTTCACGCTTGTTACCGGTCAAAACCTACAGACCGAGGAACAGCATATGCTGTGCTTAGCACCGACGACCCGACTTTTCAAAACGGCAGATGCTGTGCGTAGCAGCCTAAATGTTAACATTGTTGGGATAAAACGAAATATGGACATGCTGACTTGTTCTACTTGCAGTGTTGGCAAACACACTTTACCTCTATATCAAAGTGTGTCCGAAGATTAATTATAGATCAAATAATTTGATAGCAATAAAAAGCTTACACTACAGGCCAAATAGCACTGATGTAGAAGATATCTTTTGGAAGATTTGAACACCTTTGCTTCGGCCCGTGAGTTTCTCAAGGTCTTTCTCAAGGTCATTCACCCTAACAAAGTCTTATATATTTAGACAAGTTTTTTGAAGAAAAAGATATGTTCCCCATGACCTTGAAAGTTGGTCAAGATAATATATTTGAACAAATTTGATACTCTTTCCTCCCAGCAAGCTACAAACTAATATTTTTACCTAGGCCTGATGTATCTCTACTCTTTAGGAGTTATTTGAAGTTTTTAATATCTTTGATAGCTGTGACCTTTTAAATGGATGAAGGCAATTTGTTAAAATTTTGTAGCCTCCGTCTCCATCATTCCAAAAAGATCAAATATTGGGGGGAAAGGTGAGACTGGACAAATGCTACACTATTGTTTAAGCTCATACAGTTTGTACCAGGCAACTAAATACAGAAAATGAATAGTGAGCTACTCAATTGTTCTGCTGATACTCACTGAGTCCGACCATTCTGTCTGGCACTGCAAAGTCCTCCGTGATTACCATAGCTGAACCGTTGTGTGGTATACTTGGGTTAGATATACCTGATGGTAAACCAGCCTGTGGGGGAGGTGCGGATGCAGGCCCGATTCCTAGTTGTTGATTAATTCTGGCGGCAGCTTCTTGTGCAGCTAATGCTGCAGGGCTTTATTTAAGAAAAAGTAATTGAATTATTGACAGGATCTACTGTAATTCAGAATCGAGGCGTTAAAAGTAAAACCACAATGATTACCCACAAGAAACAGTTTACAAGTCAATTAAGTATTTCAATACTATTAATAACTGTCTTTAACGTTTACTTTTTTATATATATATGAAATGGCCAACAAATATGAAAATAAAGTTGCAAGATTTGTAATGGAAACATTCCAGGATATATATTTGTGTACCCCTATTTCATACATCTAACTGTGAACCATCTTCTGCAGAAGTCAACTTACTTTTGTTGACCGGCTAGGGCTTTCAACTGAGCACCGATAGCTGAAAAGCAAGAGAAAATCTACCATAAACCGAATTTCGCGACAAAACCCAACCGCTCCCATAACAGATATTATACATAAACCCTCCCTTCACAACATGCAAAGACACACACAAGCTGTCTATTTAAGCACAGAAAGCAGATTCCCCCCCCCCCCCCCCCCATTTCCAAAATAAAAATACTAATTTGTAAAGGTTTCTCAAATAAGGTGTTCTATTTCTCTTGACAATGCCATTGGTTTAAACTTCCATTTAAAAATTGATCATATCTTTTTACAAATATGCTGCATGTTGTTATCATTTGCAACATGTCTTACATAAGTTGTCCATTTATTGTCTTGGTTATAGAACAAGGTATTGGAATACCAATGTGCAGGACAATACAGATGTTTGTGTCGGCATTAGTGCTTAAGGCAACATGGATTTGTACATGTAATGTATAACAAATAGATGATCACAATTCCTTAAAATCAGTGTTATTTTAGTACATTTTACTAGGTAAAAGCAGCGTTTTAGACAAACAGACAGGAACTTCATCTACAGAGGAAAAACATGCACAGAAAGTTCACAGAAAGATTCTGGATAGAACATTTATAGCTAGCTTTGTTATGCTTAACATATCAAACCCTCAACCACACCTTCATATTATGTTTTAGTTATTCATCTAAAGCCTCAGATTATTTAATCACAAGTTATCAATAATTTATTTACCTTCTAGAAGGAATAAAAATACCTGTCACAGACATAATATAAAACATCTATTGGTGTTTAAATTTGACGAGTATTATTATTATTATACTACCCCTTGACTGCATTTTCTATAAATAACGCATATACATGTTTTAAAATTTAATTTTCTTTGAATTCTGGTTATATATAAAGTAAACAATCCACAACTTAAGATTAACCCTTAGGCTGCTACGCACGGCATTTGCTTTCTGAAAAGTCGGGTCGTCAGTGCTACGCACGGCATCTGCCGTTTCTCGGGTATGTAGGTTTTGATCAGTAAACATCGGTCTGTAGGTTTTGATCAGTAAACAGGAAGTGTTAAGCCAGGTTGTTGCTATACCAAACCCGAACGCATATACAATCGAACCTCGTTATCTCAAAGTCGACGGGATCGTTGAAACTTCGAGTTATCCGAGTATTCGAGTTAAGAGAGTTCCTATGTTTGGCATAAAGATTGGTAAAGTGTTTGGTCCAATATGAAGCTATATATGTCATTGATTTCGCTAACAATCAACGTATTTAAACTGTCGATAAATGACAAACAGATAACTTTATAAAATAAAAAATAACAACTTATTCATAATCATATTCATTAATTAATTAATGTTACAATAATCACACATGCTGTCTCCGACCTCCTGCTATGCCGATAGAAAATTTCAATGCGGAAATGAAAGTGCGCAAGTCGTTACACAAATCACTGTATTGGAGCGAACACGTTTGATTTCTTAGTTGATTTCGACATTCCGAAATGGGTACGAGTTAATCAGGAAACATATCCACATTTATAGACCCAAATGACACATGACATCTCCTCAACACGACGTACTTAACAATAACTCGTATTGTTCCTATAATCTCTCAATTAATGATCAGTGCCATACAAGCTCTTGTAAAAACATAAACCGACGAACCAGTCCTAGGTTGTGATTTTTACTGTGGAGCTTATTTACGCATGACCGCACACTGTGACCCATTTTCTGGTTAGAATGTGTCGTAAATAAAGTGCCATTCAAATTGTTTACGGGCTCACAGTGAGTACTAATTGTTGTTAATCAACATTGATGAAGTTTGTTTCTTTATTTGTACAAAGTGTTTTTACAGTCAAACACATTTTAATGCCATAAGTTTAATCGAAGTAATTATGACCGAGCGTAAGCTGCTCAATTAGAACGATGTTTACCGTAGCACTGCGTCTAATATGTATCAAATAATTAAAGAATATATGATAGACTTGTGAATCTTAAGAAACCTCGAGGTAGGAGATTTTTTTATGTAGGATTTACGTTGTTGGGACCAATGTTTCACTTCGGGATATCCGAGTTTTTTCGAGTTTTCAGAGTTTTTATTACTAAGATTAAGAAGAGTTTTGGCCGGGACCGATGAAATAGTACAAGTTAAACGGGGTCTTCGAGTTATACGAGAACGAGGTTCGACTGTAGTAGAAGGCTTCTGATTGATTTTTTTGTCATTACTTTCAATATTCCCAGCAGTGTACCCTAGTAAAAACCAGAGGTGTGAGAGAGAATTTCAAATCGGGGAAAAAAAGTCATAAAAATGGCGGACGTGTTGTTTGAAGCGATGAATATGATGGTAAACTTTATTCTCCAGCGTCACCTTCGATGATAATAAAGGTTTTGAAGGGTTTGACATGGTTGATGTGGAAATACTTCAGTGTAACTTTCCAATGAACAGTTTTATGCCCTATGCAAACAGGAAAATATAGGCGGACCGAGGCGCACATGTCTGCAGGTGAGGCCGAATCGAACATGACATTGATATGTTTTGAGCCGATTGATTTCTTCAAACCATTAACGATGATTTAATCGTTAACTTAACCGAAGTCAAGATATATCTATATGCCGACTGTGTTAGCAAATATATTTAATGACGACCTGAAACCTGTAGCAAATCACATACAATTCTTGATGAAATACCCGACCTTTTTACCAGAGATTCTCTGTTTTCATGTACACCGTCTTATGTCAAAAATGAAGTTTACAATTTGTTATCATTTGCCAAACACATTTGCCGACAAAAATAATTTGAAAATGATCTTTCTCGTGCTTAAATCAGATTAATTAAAAGTTTCACCTTTTCTTACCTTTATTACCACCTGTACATGTACAGGTAAATACTGAAGCAACTTTAGAATTGAAAACATTAATATAAACTAGAGACAATAACGAACAATTTTCATTAACTTTTAAACACATATAACAAATATTTTTCAAGTTATGCACATTTGAAAAATCAAGTAAATTAATTTATATTTCAATGATTAATTCAGCAGTGGTGTCCTTTTACATAGAAATCAATGTAGCAGCCTAAGGGTTAACACAAATTATTTCACACAGCAGGATAAATTAAAACAGAAAACCCACACCATTTCCTTGCACCATCATAATCAAGATGGGAAAAATATCATCGAAGCAAATCGCTTCAAACGCTTTTCTTCTTCAGATTGATTTTTTTTTGTACAGTGTAGATTACGGTATACTTGCGGTCAGTTCGAACACACTTCTTTAACAATAAAAATAATAATTTTCTGTCTAGTGACTAATGGTTCAAACCCTGCTTACACATGTTTCAGGTTGTTCAAACACAATTTGAGTACTGAAATTACGTAATTATTGATCGAGGTGGACTATCGGCGATACAATAATAGCCTCACGAAACTCGCTTAAACTGCGTCGACAGCGTTAACTACTGAATAACGGGTAGTATTCATGTGCGACCATTGTTGTCATCCATGTCGGACAATTTGTACCTAAATAAGCCACATGTCATTGGTATTTGAGTTTCTTTCTTGTAAACACGACAGTCAAACATCTTTAGGTTTGACCGTGTATAATATCCTATAACAGTACACAGAGAGCGGAATGTTACCGTCACATCACTGACAGACGTGTGTATTGTCTCATGTGATTACAATTTGATTACATAATTGCAACCTGGCCACCAATCACCGTTTTATAACTCAATTGATATATTACCGATACATGTGCCGAAACATAAACATCTGACCAGGTGGTCGATCGAACTATTAATCCGTAATTTCAATCCACTCTCTGCATTCTGATCAGTACTGTCAATACTCCAGTAAAAATCTATTGCTTTGCGGCCTTCATATTTGTCTCTGCTTTGCAATTGAACTTAATAATTCCTTATTAATAAGTATATAAAAAATATCATTATTCATCTCAAGATTTGCAAATATATATCGCAATAAGGCCATCGTTGTTTCGAATCAACGACTTGACTGTTTGCAGTGATTTTTGCCTATGTCGACTTGGATAGTTCGAACTATTCTTTATCGTAGCGGCTATAATTTCGTGTAATTCAAACAGGATGGACAATAATTATTTAATTTTGTTCGAACTGACCAGAGGTTTACCGTAGACAACTTATTTTACACATCAAGGTAACAACGAGTTTTGGTAAGTGAGGTTCAACACTGGACTCTAATCAGACTGCATTTTACAGAGGTTAAGATGACAACTACTGGCAGGTTAATATATAAATAACTGTGTGTTAGTTATTAACATAAATTTCATTCAAACTAATTTTAAAATGGTAAAGTGTTCCAATAAAATCATGCACAATTCTTATCAAGCATCAGGCATCAGAATGAACATATTCACAACATCATCAATCAATCAATTCAAAATGTTTCAACGTCAAAAAATGTAATTATGCAATTCAAATTTCATTGTCATCAAAAGTTAATGATACAACATCAAAAACAACAGATTCAATTATATAATGAATTTCAAATCATCAATATGAAAAAAATCATCAGAATACATGTGAAAATTATGAAATTGCATTGCTCTTTAATCACTGCTAGAGAAGGAAAATGCATCAACAGAATAGAAAACATGTTTAAAGCATGAAAAATTGCATTGATGAGAATTGAACTCCTGAAAATGTTCACATTAGAAAACGTTCACCCATAACCTGTGTGTATCCATTGTCTTTCTTCAATTATTCAAATAGATATTATGGAAAAAACACTTGTTACTTGTTTAGATCAGCAATAAAAAAAGGACCAAGTTTAAATGAGCATGCTAGAAAAATCTATACAAATAATAATAAAAAAACTTTAAACTGCTTCTAACGATATGAAAGACAATCAAAATGAAACAGAAACATAATTGCCTCAAAGTATCAAAAGCTGTACAGCTAAATCTAGTCAAGTAAAAAAAAGGATGGTTCAATGTTTCAGAATAAAACTTGAAAAGAATGAAATAATTATATGACTGGAGAATATTTTTTACTGTTGATTAAAATCTATTTCAATCGAAAATCCTCTAAAGAATAATACTTCATGGTCAACTTTCTGATCATTTTTATTGTTTTGTTTGTGGAAATAGTTTGATGACAATGAATATGAAGAAAGACTATGAATTCAAAGCAAAACAAACATGAAATGTAATAATTACACATCACATGTATAATAGTACACATTTAGCCTAGGCATTGAACTTGAACAAAACGTTAATTGAAAGTCTGGCCAATCAAGAGGGTGCTCTGAAGTGTATGTGGGTTTTGTATTGTACAAGGTTTTATGAACACATACGGTCGTTAATAGCAGCTACACTCTTCTTTTGATCTGGTTCACCTGTGAAAAGAAACAAAGCACATGTTGTATGTATCCCCCTCATGGAAGGAAGGAAGGGTGAAGCCTTTACGTAGACGAGTTGGTACAGTTTGGCTGTTATGACCAGAAAGGTGACCACTGTGTTTTAAGCACTTAGAGGTACACTGTCCTTACGTCCGTACATGGATAGGGGCATCTGTGATGCCAGATTTGTGTACCGATGAGCAGCACAAAGTCCTGTTACACCAGCTTTGCAAACATTTTTTTCCCCTTCGTCTTCTTTTATGGTTATTGGAACAGGTTTTACTACTTTTTGTCAAATATCTATTAATTATCTTTGGTGTAACAATATTTGTACTGCATTATATCGGAACAATTTGCAACAGTATACCTCTAGTTAAAAAATATCCAAACTGTATCAAAGCTAAGGAGTGGGATTTCTCTGATTGATCATGTCTTAAGTTTATTATCTGTAATTTTTGGAGACTTTCGTATGTCCCTTGAAATTTACAACTTTTTTCTTTTAAACATTTTGTTGCTTTTTTCTTTTGTACTTTTTCCTTTTGTACTTTTTCTTTATTGTTTTTTTTCAGACAATGTACCTTTAGGTGACAAAATTGTCGCTGCAAATATAAGTCCAAAACCATATCATGAGGCAACTTAAAAAAGCACACACAAGCATGATACAACAATCTTAAAAGGATATTGGGGACAAGAGTATATATCATAGTCATTTTCTCATTATATGTAATACCATACCAAAAGCTTGTCCGTCTGAATCAAATGGCCTTTTCAATGTAGGGGGCGCTGAAGCATCCCCACCTCCTGCTGCGGGTTGGTTAATTTTAGCAGCTATCTAGAAAGAAAGGGATGAAATACCACTTAAGTATACAAATTCTAGCAGTTTCGATAAAATTCATATTCTGAACCAAAAGTAAGGATTTCAATAGTGAGCGTTTTTCTACCAAATTTTATAGCAGCATATACGAATCATGCAAAACAATGATATTATTATTGAAATTGGGAAGATATTGAACAGTTTTCAATTTATTTAGGGGGGAAAACACAGAACTTCTTTGCTAGGAGACAATGCCAATAGTGATTATTGTAATAAATGACAATAAACACGTGCTATAAAAATTCTGCGCGCACTGAATCATTTCAATCCACTCATTCGAGAAAACACGGTTTTCAATGTAGAGATTACTTCTTTCTATCAAAACCAACATCGTGGCACGGTCATTTCAGATCATATTTTTGTAATATTGCTTATGACCGAGTTGCAGTCAGCAAACCAAAGCAATATTATCAAAACTTGATTTTTTGAGTCCTTTCAATTACTATCGATAAAGTTTCATTTCTAATTTACTTCCGTAATGCCAAACGAAACGGGGAAACCGGCGCCATGATGCGTCTTGTTAGATAGGAAAAAATACAAAGACGACTTCCTGTCCGGGTTGCTTTGTTTCTTGCTAATTAACGTCGTAGATAGCCACAGATAATCAATTTCAAACCAATGGATGCAGTAGGTTGGCGCATTCTGTTTTATTATAAGGTTAGTCGAAGAAAGAATAAATTTAGGTCAAAACAAACTGAACCTGACTATCGGACGCGGGTTATGGATTCTCTGAACATGCCGACGCAGACCACGCGGTCGAGCTCGGGCATGAAGAACAAGACCTCCGGTACACGAATAAACACTCAGAAACGATATACCATAGTCAATCCTGTTTTTCGACATGGACGCTGGTAATGGACGTATCATTTTACCTGTCTTGCACGAGCAACGGCGTCAGCAAAAGCGGTTTGAGCGTCCACAGTTCCTTGACCTGCTGATTCCATCTCCCGCAAACGACAAAGATGGCGGCCGAGAAAGGTAAATTGACTCGATGCAGTATAGTAAATTGAGACTTATGATTGGTGCAAAATGATGACGCACTTGGGTAACACGTCTAAGGGGCTCCTTATGGGGATCGTTCAGGTAGGAAACGGTTTAAGTATCGGATTTTCGTTATTTTTATTCAGTATCTTAGTATTTATACAGCACTAGTTTTTACTTACTTAATTTTTTATAATATATTTTAATACTATAACTATTCAGTTAATTGTCAATGGATCTAAGAAGATGATAAATCTATCCTATAAAATTGTCGTAGCAGGCCTAATTAACCTGACACCAGAGACGTATATATAGATATACATACGTTTCTGCTGACACATATGTTAAATTCGTAACATTATATATATGCGTTTGTGTCTGCTTAGAATATTGAAACAAACGAGTACAAAGAGGCATTAATAGGAATTTAAATCAGAACTGATTTTTTTTATTTTCAAAATCAAGATCTTTCGAAATTCAAACCAGCTACGCGAAAACCAATGAACGTTTAAAACCAGAAATTAATTTCAGCACCTTTTCCGCTTTTCACTTAATAATTGTTTTATTTTTTGGTATAATAAGCCATTAGTTTATGGCAAGCCAAGTTGTCATTTATTCATGGAGCAATGTTGATCCAGTACTTAACCAAATTATATAAGATATCTCATACATTATATAAGATATCTCATATATTACATAAGATATCTCATATATTATATAAGATATCTTATAAAGTATATAAGATATCTCATAAAGTATATAAGATATCTTATATAATTTGGTTAAGTACTGGATCAACATTGCTCCATGCATAAATGACAACTTGGCTTGCCATATTAGTTCTTAATATTTGGCGTGTAGATTGTTAATATGAAAGTTTACTTAATTGGTAAAGATTGGTGACAATAATTAACGTACGCACTCTCTGTCAAAGTCACTTCCATCTTCATCTTCATCTGCTAGATCTCCCTCCAAGACTAGCAAATGTTTATTGTTAATTTAGAATTTGTAATGTAAAATTTCCTATTGAATGTGGTAGATTGAATAACATTCCAAGAGAAGATAGAAAATGTATTTTTTGTGACCTAAATGAAATTGGAGACGAATATCATTATTTATTTAATTGTAATAACCACAAGATAGTGCAAAACAGAAGAAAATTTATGTCGAGATACTATTTTGAAAGTCCTACTACTTTAAAGTTTAATACATTATTTAACTATGTCAGTAATGAAGAACTAATTTCACTTATAAAATTCCTTAAGCACATAATTGAGCGAATTAACACTGGCCATTAACACCATGATTTATATGTAAACTGTACTATATATATGTATATAATTCTCTACACTGTAACCAGTTTGCGAGAATTAAAAAAACTTGTCAACTTGTTAGACTTCCTCCGTCGATACCGACGATTACGGAAGTAGGGAATGTATTGAAGTACTATGCATGTTGTATTATAATCTATGTATATATCCTTACATATATTCCCTCCGTCTATATTCAAAGAAAGTGTTTATTTTGTGGAAAATACACCATAGGAGTTTATTATGTGTCATTTTATATAGCAGATTATATTATGATACAAAAAAACTTTAAATGCAGATAATTTAACTGTTATTTTTCCGACATTGATACACTTTCAGTATTCTCCAAATGTTTTACCGGTTTAGTATAAATTTATGAAAATTCTGCAGAAATATTAAAGATATGATAATGTCAATTTTATAAGAAATGTGAAATGTAGACTCCAGTTGTTACTCTATGTGGGTGAAAAAATATCGATAACACGTACGTACGTCAAGACGTCTTTTAAGATTTACGAAAATAACCTATATGGTATGTTATGTATAGTTGGGGAATATTACCATCATTTAAAATCCTCTATAAAAAAATGACATGTAACCATTGCGCAGGTGTCCACCGAGTCTTCCACAAGGACAAAGAGTAAGATTTAACTGTACATCGTGTTATTATAGATTTCTATTGGAGATATAGCATTGATAAGATAACTAAAACTGAAATAGTGACCGGGAATTCTTTGGTAAAGCTAGAGAAACTGGTGGGTTTTTTTTTTGTAATTATACTTGTGCACGTGATACTGGCGTCCTTCTATATATACAGGAAGGAGACATTGATCTATTTTATTTTATTTTTTATAATTCGACCCTTCTCTGTTAAAGTGTCATATATCATGCTTATCCCATGGGTGTCCATTGAAAAACGTATATGCAATTTCCATTGATGCCGGTTATATTGTGCTAGGCGCGCATTTAGCCGTGGCCATATGCAGTAGAAATTGACAAGGTAGCAAATGTATTTCTCACTGTTGTTTATTTAGCAGCGGATGTAGCATAACAAAACAAAATACTATATATACAACTTACTTGATACATATAAACTTTTAAAAAAAAATGACAAGAAATGACTGCCAGTAATTGACAATATACATAAGAATGCAATCGATGGATTTTGTTTAATGTTTTATTAACTAGAGTGCAAGGAGAATAAGACTATAGGTGTTCCGGAAGGGTAAGCGCCTTCTGTTCATCGATGACACCGCCATGTAAATGTAAGCCGAATCCAGGTAATGCCACGCTATCACGTCGAGAACTCGGGTACTGACGATATAACCACACGGTAGGGAAATACCGAATTTCTCAGCGAGATCCTGATGGCGATGTCCATATAGTCTTCATCAACACGAATCTTTGAAAATTATGTGTTGTAAGTCAGCAATCAATATATATAAATAAATATACAACATTTGATATTTCGCCCTTTATAGCTAACATAAGCCACTCTAAAGCATATAACAGTACATAGATATACAGTTTTATACAGTCAATACGATTAGCATATATATATTAATCAATACAATATTGATGAATTCGCAGGAGCTGCCTTATCAGTCGCTAACTACTAGTCATATGCCACCTGGCTAATATCTCCCTTTGTATGTGTGTGACTAGGAGATGTATTGTGTTCTGTTTGTAGTGGGACCGTGCTTCCTCACTTGAATGCTACAGCACAGATACCGCAACACCCACCCCAGACCAGACCATTGTATACTCCACCTGGGTTGTTCGAGTTGTGTGGGCAGGAGAAAAACACTTTCTCTGAATATTCCATGCGTACGGCGACTTCGGGGATCGAACTCCGGCCGCCTGCTTGGAAGGCCGAAGTGTTAACCACTCGACCAATTAGCCCATATATCACGGAAGTCGATATCCAGAGTGAGCTTTTGATTCTAAATTAACTGCGACATGAAAACACCGTTTGTAGCGGAACGGGGAAGTTGCTATTAAGAAAGGGAAAGTTCACGATAGAAAAAGTTGAAATATTATAAGACTCTTTCATGCATAGGGTTGTAGGTTAGGGAAATAGCATATATTATAAAATTCAAGATTTATTCAAATGTAAGGCCGTGGTCCCATCAGTACGTGATACAAAATACAATGTATAGGGAATGTTTAGAGATGATGCATATTGTAAATACAAGATACTGAATTAAGGGGTTATTTTGCTAGGTCCCTGACATAAATAGCTGTTTTTAACTTCTTTGGGTACTTGAGTATTGAATACCCTTAAAGACAATATTATTTATATAAATCGCATTCTGATATTATGAAATTTATTATAGATTCATAGAAAATGAAACTAATCTGCAATGTCAATGAGTAATATTCTTTACAATACTTTAATTCTCTACGGACATTTTTATATATCCCAGTCTCTATAGTAAGATAAAATCGAAGAAAACAGTTTCAACTAAAAACATATTTATTCCAAAAAAGAATTTCTTGAACATATCCTTCCCGGTGTAACTTGATATTTGAGTATTTGTGCCTGCATCTGTTCATTTACCTTTATTGCCTTTTAACTGCCTACTGAAACCTCTTGTTATACTAACGATTTGATAATTCCTTCCTCCTCGGCCAAGACATCTTCGATACTCCAAGGGTCACATTCAATTAGGCTCTCTGCACCCCTGGAATATGTCATTGTAAAATCTAAAGCACACGGTTAGCCATTTGGTCGGTCTCGGGTAACTGACCAATCGATTGGCTGACTTCTCTCCTTTGAGGATGTGCGGAAGCGACAACCGACTTAAAAGCCTGTCAATTTTACTGTTACTCTGACGCGGGATTCTTTTGATGTACATCAAAAGATCAATCATGTCTACTTGTATCGTCCACAAGGTGACGCACACCTAGTCTTCGATTTCGCCCTGATATATTCCAGGAGTGTAGAGAGCGTAAATGAACGTAACCTCTGGAGTATCGAGGAGGCGGCCAAGGGTCTTAAGATAAATAATATAGTTTTCATTACATATGAGATTTTATGAAACGAGTCCAAGGAGTTTCTATTTTTGCAAGCCTAGACGAGCAAAATTTAAAACTTCGAGACGAGTTTCATAAAAGCTCATGAATATGAAATGAAAACAAATTTAAGATACTTTTTAGCACATAACTCAGAAAACTTACATTTTGACAGGTTTTAAAGCCAAAATGTAGAGGGCTTAATCAAACGGAGACAGACATTTTGTTGCGCCATTCACAATGTATGTCGTCACGTCATTGTCCATATTATGACGTTACGTCATTGTCCATTTTATGACGTTACGTCATTGTCAATATTATGACTTCACAATCGATTTCTGACTGGCACAGCCAATTAAAAACGCTTCAGGGTATATATACACGGTCGAATTCACTGGATTACAGGTTGATTATGTAATAAATACACATATTGCAATCAAAACTAATACTTTGAAATCAATACTGATATGATAGAGGTTTTTATCTGTTAGAATTGTGTTTTATGTATTAAAGAATTAGAATGCCCTGAAGGCTTATTCGATTTTTTTGAAGACTTTCTTCTACACGGTTTTTACACAAGAGTGCATTTATTTGATAATAAAATAAAACCAGTTTTCTTTTATGGAGTGGAAGACAGAAAAATAGGTTCAGCTTAATGTAATATTGTAGAATTGACAACTTCTCAGCCAAATCTAAGCTTGTCCGCTTTCCAGCTCAATTTGGCATCAGTACATCGATACTTAAATATTATCGACCATAACGTCTTGGCCATACTGATGATATATTCTTTCATGCACCACCATGTTCACGGGATCTTTTTTAACGAGGGAAACAAATCTCTACAAATAATCAACAAGAGAATCAACAAAACCGTGATTCGAACTCAAAATCGATAAAACTATAGGGCAAAATATAAACAAAGGAAAATTTACAATTAAACTTGTGAAAAAGTATAATGAGAATATGACCAAGTGTCACGCAAGGGTAAGCGTCTTCTGCTTCATCGACGACACCCGCAAAATATAATTAAATCCATGTAATGTCACCTCCTGAATGCGAGAACCGATGTTCTGACACTCTAATGAGCTTAATTTAAAACGTCGATCTTCATATCACACAGAAATAGCGTATTTCCCAACGAGATACTGATGGCAACCATACAACTTGTCCATTGTCTTCATCGACCTTCATCACTGAACACCCTTTGTTGTAAACTTGTCTGTCAGCAGGCGACATTCACGAGAAAAATAATGTTATTCTGTGCAAGCTCTTTAATACAAAAACCAAACAAAGCACAAGGGAGACCTATGATATATATATAATTCCTGTCCTCGTCTAATGTATTTCTGTATCAAAAACTCAATAATCAAATTGATCAAGACGCCCGACATATTCAGTATTACATCAAAGAGTGCCAACATATTAATTTGAAAAAAAAAAACAACACTTTTTTCATATTCCAGTTTATTCTAGTACACACATCTAGTCTGTTACTGACTATTGGGTGTCGGGTAAGATACTGTCGCAGGGTCTCGAACCTACCACTTATAGGCTGTGTTTTCTCCTCTTATAGAGCAGAGCAGTGATGCAGGAAATGTACAACTTTTTCGGTATTTGCCGAATAGAAGTGCTTGGTACACAGGAATATGATTGTATAACTGACCAGGCGTTGAAAGGAGACTACGAGCCGCCCATTACAATTAAAGTCGAAACTTGGTACCGAGACAATTAAAAGGGTGGAGTTCTTATTCCCCCACCCTTAACAGGTGTGTCTCCCTTTTAAGCCGGAAAAGATAGACTTGTCACCCACCCTTCACAGGCGTGTCTCCCGTTTTAGCCGGGAAAGATCAGCTCGTCACCCCCTAGGGGGAGATAGCCTCGTGTCGATTAGCACGTGTAACGTCATTAGAATGCGTCATCGGTAATTGTGACGTCATCAAAAGTGAATGACTATATGCATACCCCACATGTGTTTTTGTTGACAAGCATGGCAGACAACTGTCGGTGGAGATGTTACTGAAATAATAAATGGAAGAACAATAATCACCCACTACTTTGAGGGTGTAACAGAGAAATCTCCAACCCTCGGGGCGATTGTTTGGGTTGTCTAACCCTCGACAGATCTTCGGGTTAGACAACCAAAAAACATCACCCTCGGGTTGGAGATTTCTCTGTCACACCCTCAGGGCAGGGGAAGATTCTATTAGTCACCCACTAGGGCGAGTTAGCCTCATGCATAGTATGACGTCACGTCATCAATGCATTGACGTCGCGTCAACAGTACATCAGACCATGGAAGACAACTCTGGATTTGTTGGAAAAAACATGCAATCGACGCTTACAGTTCAAACGATCATCCCCTACCTCGAGTGTGTGACAGAGAAATCTCCAACCCTCGAGATGATATTCTCGAATGTCTTACCCTCGGCAAACTCTCATGGTAGGGGAATATTCTATTAGTCCCCCGAGGTTTGCCGTAATACTATGGACACAGCTGTCTCTTTTGAGTGGCAGCGTTCATTATTGTTTAGAAAATGTAATCTTTTAAATTCATGCCGTTACTATTAAGGGGTTTTATGCATCTCCCCATTCTGCTTCATCGGTAGTTTAGACCAATTGATTTCCACCTTTTTGGCACCTAGTATTACTGATGAGTCCTAGGACGAAACAGCTGTATGGTGCATTGTTGTTCCTTCAGTTCAGGCATCTTGTTTCAATTACCAGCTTTTGCAGTAGCAAATCACATGTCTGTACGTCTTACGTTAAAACTTTACTATGATGTCATTCATTGTTGTTGTTTTTTTACTTTGATCGAGGGAGTTTGGAGACTTTACCTTGTGTATATGTGACCTTGCTATTGGACATTCACATATAAACCAGCAGTAGATAAAACCTTTACAACCCCTCCGTCTTAGTACAGGTGCAACAATAGTCCGAATTATTCTGACGTTATATCAACTTTTTTCATATCAGTCCGTCGTCGGTTAATCGACGTCAGACCGATATGAAAAAAGTTGATAATGCAACAATTATTGGTAACAGGTAAGTGAAAAACATAAAAAAAGCAATGACTTAATTTATTTCAGGAAAAATACTTTCAAATAATAAGCAATGGAAGTTGTATTTAAAAGTCAAGAGTGAAAGAAAGGTTTCCCGTATTAACATTTATCTCTTTGGCCTCATTGACATTAGGAGCAACATTTTCCTTCGCACACACTTTGACCGTTTTGACCGATAAAAGTCGATAAACCGTCAGAATAATTCGGACTTGGGGCTAACATGCTCAAGCTGAACTTCATTTGATCTGTGTCCGGTTTTCTCGGCCACTTACTATTCGATCGTCTACACCGGCAGCATAGAGTCTCGTTGCAGCTGTTGCACGAAGATTTTTTTCATACTTTCCTTTGTTTTATGCTTCTTAAAATGGCCATATTGAACGTTAGAAAATAACCACTGAGCATTACAAGTTTTGTCAAAAGCTTTATGTAGGCCTAATATATAAAGTTCATTTCTAACCCGATGACAATATTAATCTTATATGTCAACTTTTGTCATTGTGACCTGATGAATTAAGTATAATCTTTGTTAGTTAAAGTTTTGAAAATGATAACAATTTTAATAACGTAAATTAAGGCAAATTTGAAAGTAAAATGTATGTCAGCTAAAAAACATTTCTAATCATTGAAAAATAGGTTACAGTGGCCTGATTTGGTAGGACAAGGCGAGGGGTATGTTTTCCAAAGTCAGGGCTAAGTGCAACTATCAATTTCTATTTATACGCGTCTATTCCGAGATTTGATGCAAGATGGGATCGAGAGGGAATTTCCAAAATTGCATTTTATTCTATTTATAGCTTAGAAGTCACCATTTCAAATATGCCGGATCATTCATTATTTCGTAATCCAAATTATGGTGGTAGTATATATATATATATATATGAACACTCAGTGTTGAAATTCGTTTTCTGTGTCGTGACGTTCCAGTCGGAATATAGACGGTTTACTTTCATGTTAAAACAAAGTCAGTTTACCCCAGAGGTCGCCATTTGCAATCTTCATCACTTCCGGCAAGAGCAGTAGGAGAAGACAAGTAAACCTGAACAGTGTGGGAAATTACTGATTGTGGTATGTGTGATGACTTTACTCATTGTTGCGGCGGGAAGTTTATGATTTTTTTTTATGTTTTGATATTAATTTTCCATAGTGGTAAAGTAGCACAAGATTGTAAACTCAATGTACTGAAGTCAGGCCTAATCACGGGTTCGTTTACAAATGTCTGAAATATACATATCGCTATTCTGATATGGGTCACAGCACACATAAACATTTCACAGTGATAATTTTTTTTCTGCTATTGAGCTCCCATTGTTGTTCCAGACGTCGACCTAATGGTATTTTTAATTTTGTTTCAATTTGCACTGTTAGCCATGTTTCTAAAAATAGAACCCACGCCTACTTACGTTGTTCTTTCATACGAGGAACTAATCACCCAGTATATGGAGCCATGACAGTTCGTTATGATGAATGTTTGATATTCGCTATCATATAAACGTTAACTTAATTACGTATGACGACCAGGTCCTATCCGGTTGGATTTAGTGTTTTCACATTTTTTTGTGGGATTTGTAGAAACAAATTAATGTCATCAAAGGTTAGTAGATCTACTAGGCCTATATACATTTATAGAAATGTTGATTTAATGGTTAACTGTTAAACTCGTATAATTTTACAACATAAGGTCATTTAAGGTGACAGTACACAAAATGGATCACCAAACCATTTTTGACAATTCAGCAGATGAATTATATTAGTTAATGGTTCGATGTATCAAAAGAATAGTGATGGGTGTTCCAACCAATGAAATAAACACCCAGGGCTCACGCGAGATATGTATAGGACACTCTGACGTCACCTTTTAGCAGTTCAATTTTGTTGCAATTGAGGTACCCAAAACAGATCACAGCTTCAATTTTGCAATATTTTGCGTTTCAAATAAAGATTTCTCATTCAGTATTTTAACATTTTATGGTGATCTTTAGAATTTTAAACTTTAAAGAAAACATTTTATAATAGAGAAAGAAATGCAACATGTTTTTGATTTCAGAAAAAAACCACCCCAAAAAACTGTACTATGGCAGACAGCGGAACAGCGGTCTCCATTTCACCTGGTGGATATCCCATTGAGATTTTCCCTGGGGGTTTTGACGAGAAGTTTCGCTGTAATTCTTGCACAAAGATTCTGAGGGAACCAGTCCAGTCTTTTTGTGGTCACCGATTCTGCAAGAGCTGTATCCAGGAAGTTATAAGGTATCTTAAATGTTATTCTAACTGGTGACTTTAACTTATGGTAGGGGGTACTACTGCACCAATTATTTAAGCAAAATAAAATTCAACTTCAGAGCCGTTGTTTTAAACTGATTTTTCATTTGTCATTTTAATTCTATTTTTACAATTTCTTGATAGCAACGTCAGTAAAGTGTGGGATAGCCACTGGCATTGGATTTGTCCTGAGTTTGCCTTCCTGGAATTTCTAGTTTTTTTTTGCCAATTGCAATACTGTTTTAACGTGATGGAACCCTAAATTTTAAAGAGATGTTTAGATGTTGAAGAAATGCATTGATTTATTAGGAAATATTGATATGGTAGGGATTTATGCGTTCATCAGGACACAAGGACACATCTATATTCTGAGACCAAAACGTATCCGACAAAAAATGAAACAATGGCAATAATTGATTGCAACATGTCAGAGTTGCCATACTGATGCTAGTAAAAATATCTATATGGTAATGGCAATTAATCTGATGTTGAACCTTTCTTACTTTCCAATTTTAGAAAGAAGCTATTGAATATTGATAGGGGACTGAATAAGATATGAAAATGTTATGCCAAGTAAAAAGATTGGATTGTAACTATTTTTCTACTATATTTGCATGATTTACATATTTACATCATTTCAATAAACCCCTTATAAACTTGGCACACATCCAGCTTTGGGGCTTACTTCTATGTAGTGTTACATATATAGTTTTGAAGGACATATACTTAAGCAGAAAAATGCTTATGTCAAAAAACTATTATTTCACTTATGTCAAGACCATCAATTATTCTTCTTTCTTTAACATTTATGTTCTGTCAATATTTCTGAATGGCTCAAATTACTATACAATGCTAACAGAGGTCAACGCCACATGTAGAGGTCAAAGGTCAAAATGAACTTTGTGTGGATCAATTGCTGTCCAGATTTTTTTTGGGTTGAATGATTGTGTTCATGACAAATAAATATCACCACTACTGGAACTAGATGTATGTACATATAGGGTTCACATCTTACTGCTTATATTTACTGATACATGTATGTATAATATCATATACATGTATACATGATATGGATATGTAACCCTGGTTATGTTTACAGACAGGGGGAGAGAGTCCAGTGTCAGTCCTGTATTAATGAAGGCGCAGGTGATGATGATGACTACAGCATACTGAAGGAAGAACAGGTAAACATGTCTTAATTTACAGCATATTATATTACTGACAAAGGAGAAGGACGGAAATACTGCATATTTTCGTATGAGATTACAGTATAATTGAGGAAGCTTAAACCTTATGTTTCTGTGGTTGGGAGCCTGAAAAACATACACCTGTTTGTTAATATAATTTCACTTGATTGACAAATTCATATTTGATATTGACTTTGCAGATTAATGCATCACATACTTCTGCTGTTTTTAGCTCACTTGGCCCTTCGGGACAAAGTGAGCTTATGGCATGGTGCGGCGTCCATCGTCTGTTCGGCGTCAACTTTTTACTTTAAACAACTTCTTCTGAATAACCAAGAGGCCCAGGCTGATGATATTTGGCCAGTAGCATGCTGGGATGAAGGGCTACAAAGTTTGTTCAAATGAATGACCTTGACCAACTTTCAAGGTTACAGGGGTCAAATGTCTTAAAATCTTCAAACGACTTCTTCTCAATAACCAAAAGGCCCAGGGTACTGATATCTGGCCTGTAGCATGCTGGGATGAAGGACTACCAAGTTTGTTAAAATGAATGACCTTGACCAACTTTCAACCAAATGTCCTTGCTTGACATTCTGACAAGGTCACAGACGTCATATGTTTAAATCTTTTAATAGGTTCTCATGAATCAAACACTGATATTCTGCCTGTAGCTGTATTTTAGTCCACTTTTAATATTACAAGTGTAAGATTAATACCAGGTGAGCGATGCAGGCCCATTGGGCCTCTTGTTTTAGCAGTTCTTATAACTTCAGCAATGTGTTGAGGATATACAGGTATTAAACTTACATTTCTTGTTACATTATCTTTTAATTGATAACTATTGATAAAAGAGTGGAAAAAGACATTGATGATATGGAAAATTGAAATACCCCTTTGAAGAAACGGAGATTACATTGCGACTTTGTTTACAGATGTTCCCTGACAATGGCGTTCGGCGTGAGATGGCCAATAAGGAAGTGAAGTGTATCAACCCTGGATGCTCCTGGACTGATGTTTTCAAAAGTTATGATGTGGGTACCCAGGATTGACTTAAGTTTCACTAACAGGGAAAAGCTTATTTGATCTTCTAAAAGATTATTGTTTTATAATAAGTACATAACTTTAGTACAAAAGCTTTCGTGATTCAAATTCTTAGAAAAAGGAGTCAAGTAAGGAAAAGCCCAATGTAATGAATTCTTCGAAACAGGAAAAAACAAGAATAAGCCTTCAGTTTTATAGTCCTTAGAAAAGGCATAAAATTAGGATAAATCAACAATAATTACTGTTAAGAAAAGGTCTTTAAAAAAAAAAGTGGTTTATACTTGAATTTCAGCCTGTATACAGAAAGAACTTATTTCCTGATACAATTTGACCCCAATCAGTTTTTAACTAGCCTGGGATTATCACTGATAAAAAGCAGAGGTTCTTGTGTGTAAAAGCAAACATAAGTGACTATTTTCAGTTTATTGTGTTAGCCCTTGTATATTTCTGTCAGATAAGGAAATTGTGTTGGCACATAGGAATATTTACATGATATTTAAGTAGTTTGAATCCTAATTTCATCATTTCTGTAAATGATAGGACCATGTACGCAATTGTGAGTACCGACCTGTTGCTTGCACAGAGTGTAAAACTCTTGTGGAGAAAATCAACATGGAAAACCACCTGAAGGAAAGCTGCTTGGGACGCAAGATCAACTGTAAAACTTGTAACCAGGAAATTGCAATTAAAGATGAGGCAGTAAGTATAAAAATTATCATTGTCCCTGAATTTGTGTGTGGCATCTGTCCATCATCAACAATTCCTTCAAATGACTTTTGAATTGCTGAATGTAATTTTATCAAATTTAACTGGAAACATCCTTTTTTGGTAGTGGGAATACATAAATGTACAAACAGAGGGTGTGATGGCCTCCGAGTTACTCCCATAACATGAGAGGCCGCTGGTCGGCCTTTTTTCAATCGGATATGATTTTGCCGACTGCGACCTCTCATTTCCGAAGCACTAATTCTTTGATGCATTTTCCACCCGAAATCCGGGCGGAACAAAATCGGCTAGAAAACCTCACATAAGTGGTTAACAGTTCATGACAAAGATGTCTACTCACGGTTTATATAATATAGATCTCATATATATGTCACAGACACAAATATATAGTATATTACGGAATAGAACACTCAAAATACATGTCCACGTCTTTGTAGCACATCTCTGACCTACATTTAAAACATGGCTTCTGGATTAATACAAAATATCAGGGGGGATTTCAAACGGAACGAAATGATACAAATTTGTTTGTATTCCGCTTGTGAAACATTACATGTAATCCATTTTTGTATTAACCGGAAAAATCATGGCAAATGCTGTCTGCTTCGCTTCGAATGAGGAAAAACTCATTATTTATGTCTTTGACATGAAATTTTTCTCATATAATCATGGATTTATGGAAAGGAATATTTAATGGACCCTTTTGACCATTTAAATGTATGTAAACACGATATACTCTTTCTTAATCCGAACTTTGAAAATGTGATAGTAAGCATCGGGAAAATCAGCTATGGGCAGTTAGAGGTTACGTGGCGCCTGTCAAAAGTTTTTCGCCGTGTAAAACCTCTAACATTGTTAGAGTAGCCTCCGAGTCTGCCTAACCCTTGGGAACTTACCTTGTAGTCAATGGTCACATCATGGAAACAGTCTGGTTTCCCCACATTTGAATAAGTAAATAAACAAATAAAGGATTAGCCAGAAGTTCTGCTCCAATTTTTAGTGACATTTAGTTCTTGGGTCATAAGACGGGTATGATTGAGATCCCCAACTTATATCAAATATATATCATTGCTCAGCATGAAGATTTCAATACACAAATGCTAACAGGACTTGCTCCAATGTGTGGCCCCAGGCCTGAGAACTTACCATTTAAAATCTTGTGTTTTAAAATAGCAGTGAAAATTGAATGACTAAATCAGTGTAGAAGTAGGGAAGTGAAGAAAGGAGAGATATAGATCCTAAGTGTTTCTATTGGGGAAGCAGAAGAAACACGCTGATTGTGCAGGAAACCCCACATTAGCCACCTCTTACAGTAACATCCAGTGCGAAACAGCAGGTCTTTCACAAACCTGCAAGGCTGGTATAAATAAAATATTTTGTCACCATTCTTACAAGTAGAACATGTCATTAATATGTTTTACGGCACGGCCGTTAGTGAGGGCGGAGCCAGGTTGTACTGTAAATGTATCGGAATATCGGTACTGTACTCTTTCAAGCATTGAGTGATGTGTTGTATTACTAAATCAGACCTACATGTATAGCTATACAGTGTATATTACAGTTAAGTTTCCTTTCTTGAGTTCTTTTTGGCTGACAAGATGTTTGATATATTGAAGTTTTCCGCCTAGGCGTATGATGACATGATATTAATGTGAGAATGCGAAAGGTCCATTAGACTCTATATAAGTATTTAAATTTGCACCTCTTGAATCCATTGCAAAAAAATCAAGTGCAGCATATTCTACAAAGACATTGAAATAAAACATATTAGGATGGATATTTTTAATCATCCACAAAAAGATATACATATATATGGGGCAAAGAAGTAATTCCAACAGTGTTGACAAGTTTAGGTTGTCAAATTTTCGGAGCGATCCGCTCCTTTCTCAAGACACAGTGAAACAGAATAGTTACATGTACATATACATCATATTAGAAGAAGATAGAACTGATATACTGTAATTGAAAATATAGCTATTATATAAAAAAAAACAATAGTCCCCTCGGCTAAAGACAGCCGAAGGCAGCAATTAAGCTGAGAACATCGCGGACAAGGAACACTCGCTCTCCCAAGAATTTCGGTTCGATCCCCAGCGGTGGTGGAAAAAAGAGAGTGATGTCTGATAGGGTTAGTTGTTATCCCTCTGATGGCACGGTGGTTTTCCCCATCCACCACGAAAACACCCTTTGTTCCCTTAGGGACGTCGTAATAAAAGCTCTACAGAGCTTATGTTTGTTGTTGACAATTGTACACGACGTTAAATAAAGATTATTATTTATTTATCATTTATTATTATTTATAATGCTGAAGGAGAGGACCTATTCTTGCGTATGTGTATATATCTTTACAAATAAGCCCTTTGGATTACTTCAAACTTAACTTCAATGATTTATAAATATTGTATCCAGATTAATTTATGCATTGTATTTTACAATAAATCTTGTGCTTTTTATGTGTAAAAAAATAATTTGTTCAATGCTATAAAAACTGGATTTATATGAAGTTTCTATTAAAAATAAGAAGAATATGCGATATCACAATTTTTGTCATTTTTCAATACCCATCATTGCAGCCAAGAGAGTCCATAGATCTATATATATATATTGTGGATGAATACATTTGTTTCAGCAACTTACTGACTATATGCTATATATGTCTCTGCTTTATGTATAGTTTTAGCAATAGAAAAAATGTATTTTTTCCTCAATTTGAAATTGAATCAGTTCAGCACATAAAACTATAGATTTTTTTTGAAATCGTGCAGATTTGTAAAACAGCAGATTTTCTTTTATGAATAATAATAAAAAAAATTAGCTGTGATGTCGCAGGGACGTATAGTGAAGGGGATTAGCAACTCCCTCTTTGCCTTACCAATTTTATGACACGTCAATCTAGACTTACCTCCCCCTGATTCAGGAGCAGATAGCGAGCGCCACCTATCTCAATTTTGACAAACCAAGATGGCGTCGATACCGCTTCGTTAGATTACAGAAGTTGGCGTGAAAACAAACCAATCGCGATAAGTGTTCTTACGTCTTTTGTTTATCCCATTGTTATAAGCTGATTGTATTACTTATAATTGATAAAATCTGTGGTATCATATTAATTGATGTCTCGTTTTTGGGGTATATTTTTCTATTTTTAAACGCGATGTAACGCGTGGTTCAGAGTATTGTGGTTGGCGTCGATAGACAAAAATGCGGGATAAATAAAAAACCACATGTATGTGAACCAGCTCACTCCAAAAGTATTTGACCGATCTTTTTTAAATTAGCAGCAATATAAAGCTGAATATTTTTTATAACGACCCAACCTATTTTAATTGCAAATAATATAATTTAACTTGTGTTATTTTTGTGTCAAAAAGAGTAAATATCAGCATTATTTTTCACTGGAACATATCATTATTGCGAAAGTAGTTGGTGACTGCTCACTGTTTTGATTAAATTTTATAAACTATCGTTTATATTTTTTAAAACAATTAATATCAATAAACAGCCGAGTAATTTCTATGTTAAGTAGGCCTGATTTGATTTGCATTACTTGGAACTATAGCTATGTCACAGATGAAATTACTCGTCTGGTAACAAAGGACACGTGTTGTTAAAAGCCGTAAAAAAACGCGGGATAAGAAACCCTCACATATTTGTGAACCACCTCGCTCCAAAGATAGTTGACTGATCTTTTTTAAATTAGCAGCAATAGAAAGCTGAATAATTTTTATAACGACCCAACCCATTTTAATTGCAAATAATATAATTTAACTTGTGTTATTTTTGGGTCAAAAGTGTAAATATCAGCATTATTTTTCACTGGAACGTAAATCATCATTGCGAAAGTTGTTGGTGACTGCTCACTGTTTTGATTAATTTTTTAAACAATTAATATCAATAAACAGCTGTGTAATTTCTATGTTAAGTAGGCCTGATTTGATATGCATTATTTGGAACGATAGCGATGTCACAGATAAAATTACTCGTCTGGTAACGAAGGACACGTGTTTTTAAAAAACGTAAACAACCAGAAAAGTTAAACCCAGCAAAAAAGTATCGCCTGCATTCGGGGATCAGCTCATTTCAAAAATACTTCATTTTGAAATTTACAGCGATAGAAAGTTGAATTATTTTTTTAATATCTAGTACTAATTTTTATGGCAATAAATAACAAATAACTTGTGCTGTTTTTGTGTCAAAAAGTGTCAATATTAGCATTATTTTCACTGGAACGTGCTTTACGAAATGTGATTTGTTGTAATAGCCACCAACACAGCCGAAAGGCTAGACATAGTGGCAACGATAGCCCTATCCCTGGAATAAAAAGAAGACCTACTAATACCCAGTCCCAATCAGGGCTAACCGTTATCAAAACACTCCCATCTCGGCGAGATCGGTGACATGATTTTAACGCTAGTGCGCAAGCGCGGGCTGATCAAGAGGGGCTCTCGATGACTTCGCGGTTCGGTGAACAAACACAAAAGCGACGTGCTATAGAATCTTGACTGGGGCAGAGTTGCCAATCCCCTCTATATACTGTCCATGGAGATAGTAATCAAAAGTGAAAATGTTTCAGTATGGATTCAATTTTTTTCTTCTGTTTTTTTCGTGCAAAATATCAATTATAAATTTTTTATGAAAATACTTGTATGTTTTTTTATCCTTTCATTTTGCGTCACTGTGATAAACTCCCTTTTTGTTGACAACCAGCACGTTGTTTTGTTGATATTCCGTTTTTTAAATATATACCACTGCAATCTCTAACCAGAGTTGTCGTAGTGAGTGCAAGGACCGTAACTCTGCGTGATAGTCTCATTCAACCAGACTCTTGTTGTCTGCGCAAGCGTCTGATTGAACGAGACTACACTGCTGATACAATAATTTTTCGACCATTCAGAACTAGAGCAATGTAGAGCAATGTAGCTGGTGACTTATTTTTGGAACTAAGAGAATGATACTATTTTGGCCATATAGTTGAGTATAAAGAGACGAATACACTAATATACTACTTGAGATCTCCATCCCATAATCATTAAATCATATATACAAATTACAGAGTATAAAGAGATGAATGCACATTTGCTGCCAGGATGAATCTGGGATCAGACCTGACCCTTGAAGACTTGGTCCTTGGGTCACAACTTTGAATTGTTGTGATCCTCATCCCATAACACTTAACTGTATGTACAATTGCTGGGCAGAAAGAGACAGACACAATCATGCTACCAGAATCAGCTCTTGTGTCAGCTCTCACCTTTAGGGACTTACTCTTTTGGGGCCTAACCTAGAAATATTTGAGATTTCCACGCTATTACAATATATACAATTGCTGAATATGACGAATTGGATACACGTATGCTACATAGATTGGCCAAGGGACTGGCCCTATCTCTGGGATCATATTTGCCATACTTTCTTCAATGAGAATATTTTGCATTGAATATTGAAATATCAAGGTGAGCGATACAGGTGCGCAGAGTCTGTTGTTGTATCTTCACTAAATATTGTGCAAGTGTCACAAACTGGGATATTGCAAACATCAACCTGTTATTCATAGATTATCTTCTTTAGCTACAGGTACCAGTTTTTACTTGTGTGCATAATCCAGTCCATTCAGCAAATCATGTTACTCTTCAATGTCTAGTCAAATAATGGTTCTTGATCTTTCATTACAGCAACACAACAAAGTTTGTCCTAAGGCCATGGTGAAGTGCGAAGCCTGTGGAAAAAAGAAGATAATGAGAGATAAGGTACCAACATTTGGTAGAGAATTGAATTAGACCACCCCTTGCACTTATATCACTATGTTTGTCGATTTGATGTGAAACTGATTTGTATGAGGATTTATCTCAAGATAGATGATGTGTATGTTAGTTAAATGAAGTACTGGTATGCTATTTTGGTTGTACATGTATATTATATTTCAATATCACTATGCACTGGGATATAGGTAGTAAATCTCTATTGCTTCACACATTGGGAACATATCAAATATCCTCTTTGTTTCCTTAGCGCAGATCGAAGGCATCTGGAGACCAATATTCAATTTCAGTATGACAGACTTAAGTTGTGCATTTTGAAACAGTCTATTTGAACTGTAAGATTTTGAATTACAATTAAATACTATTCGAACTTGTTTTCAGTTGGAGCTCCACCACGAGAAAGAGTGTGCTAGCCAGAGAATCAGCTGTCCTGTTGGATGTGATCCCGTGAGTAGCAGTACTTTAAGTTTTTGGATAAGACAATTATTTGAAAAATAGGTTTATAGAAAAAAAGTTTATCTCAGAATCAAATTCATGTGAACAAATTATCTGCATTAACTGAGTTTATTTCTATGCTTTTTGAGTGTTGTATGATTTTATATTTAATAATTTTTAATACAAGGGAAAATGAGATCTAATGTCTGCTAGTGGATGTTCAGTGAAGTTCCACCATTTAATGTGTCATTATAAGGATCTAATGATACGATAAAGTCCTGGACTAGAACACTTCTAGGTGAAGAACACTTCAGGCTAAATTTTCTTTTTATGGCAGGTCCAAAGATCAAATACTGTTCCTCGTATGTTTATTTCCTGAATATCCCTGAAAGTAAAAAATATGATTGTAAAATGTTTTTATTTTTCAAAACGTTTTAGCAGTACATAACACTGTATGCAACACTCAAGGGATATTCATAAGGATATAAAACAATATAAAACATAGGTTTATGAACACATAATTTCAGAACATCATGCTTACCATATTGAGCACTTGATACAAGTATACAAATATTTAACATAATGTAGATATCTAAACAAGAGAAGAATTAGTAAGACAATATCGGAAAACATTATATGTACAGACTTGGAGATGTTAACCACTTGTAGTCACTTATACTCCTATTTGATTTTTTGTTAAATCAGGGTTGCCAATTCTTACATTCTGGGGCTGACATGCGTCCTTGTGCAAATTGCTTTCCCACTCCATGTGAGCCGTATCTCACATTATGCAACCAATTCTCCCTCCATGTCCCCTCAAAGGACCCTGACTTTTTTATTATAAATAAAGCATCTTCATTTACCCTGTTAAACAAATCTTGTGAGCTTTAACATAACCAGCGAATGTGTTTCATTTTAAAATTTCAGTTTTACATGACAACCAATAGGATGTATCTACTGACCCCGCCTTAAAGATATGGGTGTTAATTTTAAGAACATGCTGATTATGTTTAAAATTGATTGTTGTTTCAGGTAGAGAGGGGTGCATTCGTTGGCCACCTGGAGAAAAAAGCTGGGATGCATATCCATTGGTTGATGCAACAGATTGAAACATTGACTCGTGAGGTTAGCAACAAGATCCATGCACTAACACCTATGGATGAGATCAACCGCATGGTCCAGATGATTACAGTTCTACAGGCCAAGATCCAGGAACAAGACAACCAGATTCGGGGCCTCATGGACCGCAACGCTGATCAGCCGAGAGGCAACAATAATGTCGACATACTTTCACTCAAAAAGCAAACAAAGGCACTGGACCTGAAGACAGGAACATTTGAGGGGATCGTGACAACTCTCCACAGGGAGATTGAGAGATGTATCACTGCGCTTGATACACTGGAGAGACAAAGAAATTCTGAACGGGAAGCCAATGAAGAATTGAAACGAAAAATACAACAAGCGGAACGAGCTATATCCCTAAAAGATGTCACCATCTCAGAGCTGGACAGCAGGCTCAGATCACTGGAAATTGTTAGTTATGAAGGCACACTGGTCTGGAAAATATCAGAATGGTCAAAACATAGACGCGAGGCCATGTCTGGCAGAGTGACCAGTTTGTACTCACCTCATTTCTACACAGGGAGAACGGGCTATCGCTTGTGTGCACGACTCTATCCCAATGGGGATGGCATTGGCAAGAAAACACACGTGTCTGTGTTTTTTGTTGTAGCAAGGGGGAATTATGATGCATTGCTGTCATGGCCGTTCATCCAGAGAGTGACCTTCATGCTGCTCGACCAAAACAATAGGGATCATGTTGTTGATTCTTTCCGTCCTGATCCAGCCAGCAGCTCCTTTCAGAGACCAACCACGGAGATGAATATTGCCAGTGGATGTCCTCTGTTCATGCCTTTAAAGAAATTAGAAGACGTTGGAACATCGTATGTGAAAGACGATACTCTGTTTCTCAAAATTGTTGTGGATTCTGAAAGGCCTGCTGGGGGAGGAGCAGTGTAGACATGCTTTAATTCTAATGGTTAATTGGTTTAAGTTTTATGGCTGACAGTTTTTAATATTTACTTTTACCAATCAAATTGGCATTTTTGTCAGCATGTTCGATCTGAGTTTTGAAGTGAGAGTTAGCGCTTTATCAGAAGTGCCTCACGTGGTATGAACCCCGGTATGTCTAGCCAGAGGTCGATTCCAGTATCAGGATAGCTTATGTCGGATCTATAAATTCTGAAAATAGTTATATATATTGTACATCAAAGTTTTACTTTATATACAACTTACTATTAAATGTGTTGCAACTTTTCAAGACCGACTGGTCCCTTTGTCAAGCTATTTGATTTGTTAAGCTATGTCATATATTGTTTTATCACACAATGTACTGTGTTATCCAATGAATATACCAATGTCATTATTTTTGGCTATAATATCATGTTATATGACCTATCAGCCCTGTGATTGGTTGTAGTATCAATTGTTTCAATTGTGACGTCACGCCTAGGACAAGTACATGACATCACAGACTTACCCACTGGAGTCAAAATAGCGTCTTTCTACATTTAAAGGTTGCATAAAAAATGTCGTTTTACGAATAAACGCCACAAATCTTGATTATGTGATAAAAGTGCCAGAGGCTCGCTAAGTCGAAAAATTCTTAGACTCGTTTCATAAATTTCATGTGAAATGGAAACTCATGTAAGATCCTATATGTACACAATGTGAAATACAATAAAACAATATTAAACGTGAGGCGTGGGCCTAAGCATTTTATCTTGTAAAACAGCTTTATGACGGTGTATATTGCAATCATATAAGGTGAATGAATTCACACTTTCACACATGTTTTGTTTTCATATAGGGCAACTTGGTGCAAATCCAGGGGTTTTCATAGGGGTGGCACACATATTTCAACTGGTAGCAAAAGGATCTGAAATGAGTGGTGAAGCGTTATTGAATTAGTACAGTAAATCTCGGATATGTTGAAGTCCTCAGTAAGTACCAAACCATATTGGTTACAGATGGGGGTTACTGGATATATTTTGTATAAATATCATATTTTATATCCAAAAATATCTATGAATTGCCTTAAAACATAGCATTTGGTCCATAATATGTCTGAAGCAGTTATTTTGTATAGCTCGTACATGCTGGGCGCACAAAAGCAAATTCTATATACGGTCGATATATTTGTGTGTCCAGCATCTTTGATATAACTAGAGTCGCTTTCCATAATAACCAACTGCAGTATATATAGGAAGCCCATATCTAAAAATCCCAGTATGTCCATGAAGAAGCAAAGTTAACATTTGCTACATCTTCTTTTCTCGTGAAGTGGACATCGTAGAGCTCTTACAGTTATAGGCGAGCTGGATGTCATGTGACAGAATTGACCTAGTAGCCTTTAGTGCCATGACTAGACTTCCTCCACCATGGGGCTCTTCACTGCCCCGTGCCCAAATCTTCTTGTTGGTGGTGTTTTTCCACAGCTACTAGCCTCGTCTGTCAAAACATCTGTTAAGGGTGTGCTTGACGAGAAAATCTTGAGGATGCGCCGCAGGCACTTGGGCTACATTACCTCCATCTTTTACTTGGTGTCTTAGCACAGGTACTAGCCTCGTCTGTCAATACACCTATAATAGATTTTAAGATTTCAAGATTTATATTTCATCGGACACATAAATTTGTTTAACAAGAGGTCATGTATATATAACATAGTTAGAGTGCATGGCAGGCAAGCTTTCTATATCATAGCATAGTACATAATTACATATATACGTCTAGTTACATACAAATATTTCCGTGTTCAACGTATATAAAATGTCACTAGCAAACAAGACAAAACTTCATGTATTGACAGACGAGGCTAGTACCTGTGGTCTAAGATCTGACGTCACATTGCTGCCCAGGTAAAAAAAGTGCTTCACGTCGTCGAGAAGTTGCATCCATTCAGGCACTGAGTACATTGTTCGTTGTGGCATTCTTCAGCAAGAGGTATCTATTCTTGGCATTGAACGTCATTCCTATGGTACCTGACGTCTCGGAAGTCCCCTGCCTTTTCCGGGATGCCTTGGTACTTGGATTAAAATTATCAAAAATGTCCAGTTGAAATGCGTTTGCGAGGAATACCACATCTTCACATTTTAATATTTGGAATTTTTCACCTCCAGTTGATCTAAAATGGAAGGCACATTGATGATCAAATGTAGGACATAAACTGTCAAAAGTTATAGTAAAAGAAACTGTCAACATATTCAGTATATCTTCGTGTATCTGTCTCCTGTTTCATTTCAACATTCGGAGTAAGAAACCTCGTTCAGTCCCTCTAAGAACAGTAAGTAGAGCCTGGATGTGTCTTGTCGTCGACGCTCTTCTCATTGGCAGTCGGCTTGCTCGTCTGAGACGTCGCCCAAGGAAAACTTCAGGGCATACCTGAGACCATGAACTCTGTATTGGAGGTCCAGAACTTAAAGCCGAAATGGCCAAGAGAGAGGCCCGGTTGCTAATTCACTCAACAAATTTGAAGTGCTAGAAACATATGAAGATAGCATTTCTAACATTTTGCTTGTTGAAATACACCAGACTGAAGCAGTATTTGTAAACAGGTACCACGCCTGCATCTTGTCATGGACAAAATCCATCAAGTTTACAAACAATAAATGACGGCTTTACCGAATTTGAGGTCGCACGGGTCATTTTAAATCATTCCAAACGATTTCTTCTGGGGAACAATTATAGGTTAAAAGGCTTAAATGTGTTGAAACGGGCATCTTGCCATAATTCGCCTGCAGTTTAACGGGGTGAATAAGCCATTTAGTTGGAAAAAAACCACTTTACTTTCACTCAATGTCTTTCGTGTAATTAATATTATTGAAATGGGCAATTACAGACCAGGGGAGTGATTTGGGCTTAAAAAGGGTAATCGACACTTAAACCTCAGAGGCTGCTAAAAACGTCAGAACTTGTAATATGAGAAACATTATATATCAAAATGCTCAAGACATATCTAGAAAAATAGGCAGCAAAGAGTATTGGTAATATTGGGACTGAATAGAGATGGATAGCTGTACAAAACGAAACCACGTGGTAGTATTCTTGGTCCAGGTTTATTAGTGGTCTGCGTCGTACCAACGTCCACAACTCCTAGATTCTTTACTCTACAATTTACTATGTGACTGATGGGGAAAAGTCATAATGTGGGCATTGTGCTTTTCTTCAAGTGTACAAAAACAAAAATACACGCATAGTAATATGTTCCAAGCGTTTGGTCAACACTCATGAACTTCCATATACAATATCTGAGTTTTCAATTATTCTTGAAACCCATCAGTATTCATAGATTCTCTTTAATTGTCAGACTTTAAGTATATGAGAGTATTCTAGTAATATTGACGATACAATGATTTCAAATGGCCACTGTGGAAAAGGGTTAATAAATCACACAGATCCAGATCTACATGTTGGATATCTGTACGATCGAGTCGTCGTTTGCAACAATAGGATTCCAGTGCGACATGTTCACGATGCCTTCTTATAGGGGTTCCGCATTAGCTAAGTCAAGCTGTTCATTTATTTACTATAAAGTTTGAACTTTTCCCCCCAAGCTAGGTTTTGGGTTGAGCCAATTGATCTACCCTTGCAATAACAGCACACGAGTTATTTATTTCCATGTATTAGAATGACAGAAGTAATATATATACATACCCGGTTGGATGTTATCGGGCCTTCGGAATATTGAGCCTTCTGACTATAGCTAGGATATTCGGAAACGTATCATTATGTGATCAAGAAACAGAAAGTAATTATTCATATTTGAAAATATGCCCCATTTTCCCATTAGCTTCTTTCCCCGAACTGGAGGAAAAAGCTCATCCAACGTACTGTTTTAACATCCGACGTACTGACGTACTGTTTCAACATCCGACGTACTGACGTACTGTTCCAACATCCGACGTACTGGCGTACTGTTTCAACATCCAACGTACTGTTCCAACATCCGACGTACTGATGTACTGTTTCAACATCCGACGTACTGACGTACTGTTTCAACATCCGACGTACTGTTCCAATGAAATGTCCTGGACAATTCAGTTGACATCTAAAAGTCCTTTATGTAATTTTGAAACTGAGGCATATTATTTTTGGTACTATGTTCATAAAACGGCTCACGAAACTTGTGTCATACAAATTATGAAAAATAACAACCTGGCTATATCGATATAGTATGCCAGATACAATGTAAGATAATCAGATATGACAGTATTAACCGAATTGATATATTATTTAATTGAAAGTTACGTATAATTCATTAAAATTAACATTTATGTGTTAGGTACTTGGATTGGGGCCTCTATTATCTTTGTCGGTGTGATAAACACACAAATCATCTAAGAAACGGACATCGCATCATCACAATGTTCACATATGCAGTTATCAAAATCACAAGTGTCTTTTAAGTTACCAAATCTGACGTAGTGTCTTTTTGTATTCTCGATATCTCCTTCCCAAATTACTATTTAAAAAACAGGTCGCCCCAATCTGATTAAAGTACAGCTGCAAATTGATCACCAACTATATTGATGTATTCCTCAAGAACATATAGGATTAATTTCTTACTGCTTTACCTTTTGAAGTTACGCACACATGCATACATTTATTCTTATTGAATATCTGTAGTCAATGTGGACCAACTACTAACCTGCAGTGACTCATATTCCTTTAAAAAAAGCGCATGCACACGCACACTACACACGTGGAGACACGTCCTTAAATCAGAGACGTATAAAGTTATATACGTCTCTGCTTAAATGACCTAATTAGCTGTTAATAGGACGTTAAACAAAATTAAACCAAACCCATGAAAAAACAAAAACAAATAAAAATCTTGATTGAAAAGAAAAGTAAGCAAACAAAAAAAAGTAATGATTGCTATCATTAGGGTAAAAAACAACTGTGGTCATATTGTATTATGGAAATATAACAGTTATAAGGAATAAAGGATATCTCAATATAATGCTTTAATCATGGCTGAATCAATATAGGTTTTTGCCTTAAATTAACCAGTTTAGCCATAAGATATGGCTTATATTCGATTTGATCCCCGATCATAATTATTGTACCGCTGAGTTCTGTAGGCTAACTAATCATATCAGAGACGTATTTATACGTCTCTGATCATATACACTGAATGGATTTGACGGTTGATTTTCCCCAAATGGGGCCTCATTCGGATGAACTCGCTCGATTAAAAAGGTCATATTTGACCAAAAAAAAGATGTTATTTGTATATTATTTTTATTAAGTTTATAAAACACAGAACTGCTGTTGGTGGAGCGCTGTGACAGATATTTGATTAAATAAAAAATAATACTTTGTGGTTGCAGCAAAACGATTTCTCCTTTTCGCACTGTCTGAGCATGCGCAGTCTGTATTTTCCACCAGTGACACTCGTACCAGTTGTGGGAGTAAAAACCACTTGATACAAATGATGCTGCAGAACAGAAGATGGACAAGATAAGAGATGACTGCAACGAAGAAAACTAGATATGTCAGTATGTCAAGTATTTCCACAATTGTAAGTGATTTTCGTAATTTCACCTTTGCATGCTAGCAGTCGGTGACAGACGATTTCTCAATGACACCCCTCTATGAAATCGGTGTGTAACATCATTGATTCGCTTTATATTTTTATACAAGTGGACAATAATACGAAACGAATGTGAATTATAAATGAGAATCAATACGTATTGGCTATGTGCAACTGTATTTTTAACAAAATTATTAAAATACATCTAACATAATCGTGTGCTTCTGCATTATTTACAAATTATTCTTCTGTAGCAATAACATTACACTGCATCAATATGCAGTATTAGCAGATAAGAATGATACTAGTGTGAGTAACATGAAAGCATCATTAATATATTGCTTCGTACAATCACTCGTGTTACATTTCACATTAAATTGTATCTCTCAATTCTGTGTTGTGAATATAAGGGGAATTGGAAACTTGGCCTTTTAGCTTGTGGAGAATGCATGTCACTGTCCACTATCGGTTAATTAAGTGATAGAGGTCAGGCAGTTACTAGGTACAGGCTGCAGCTCTGATAGTGCTTTTTCTCCGGGCACTCTAGTTTTCCTCCACCACCAACACCTTATGGTATATGTCCCTGACCTTAGATGTTGGACGACACAAGAAAACCAAACCAAACCCTTCTTTACAGCTGAAACTATCTCATAATGTCTCATTCAGTTCATACCTCTACAGTCGTGGCAACTTCACAAGCAATAGCCTGACCGGTGTCATCTCACAGGCCATGCACATATATAGCAGCGACCAGTGACAGACATTTTAAAAACATAATAACAACTTGCCAAGTTTCTATTCCATCTAATACATGTCTCTGGTCACTATGATGAAAAATATATACAATTTCATTGCTACCTTGACTTCTTTATACTCTGACATGTTGATCTAGAAACAATCTAGGAAAATCGCAAAAATGTAGCCCAGTGTAACGTCACACTATTGCTGTCAGTCTGATAAAAGATGTGAAAACTTAAGAAGTAGAGGTAGCAATATTTTAAATACATGTGGCCCTGCTACTACATTGTATATGATATTTAATCTGGATCACCAACCTATCATAGTTCTGTGTGCATAGAGGTTCATATAGTACAACCAACTCATGTTAATGTGTGGTCACTGGTGTCCTGAAATATTTACCATCGTATGGTATTGCCACTACATAAACCTACCAAATTAAGTTAGCATTCATTATGGCTATGAATGCCATCGACCAGTTGTTGACATTATCATTTTTAGCTCACCTGGCCTGGCGTCCGGCGTCAACTTTTTAGGTCACCTGAGACAAAGTCTCAAGTGACCTATTGCGATCGCCTTTTGTCCGTCGTCCTCAATTTTTATTTTCGACTTCTTTTCCAAAACCCTTGAACCAGTTTCAATGAAATTTTGCAGAAACCTTCCATGTCAAAAGGTCAACTAAAATTTACCAAAATTGTGAATTTCATGACCCTGGGGTCTCACGTTTCCCCCTGGGGAGGGAGTAAACTTACTATAGTTTACATAGGGAAATCACATTTTGGACTAAAATTTGTTTAATTGCCATTGGAAGTAATTCAATTTGGGTTAGCATTATCTGTATTGGATAGCAGTTTGATGGTATGCACATATCAGCCCTGACTGACCCCCTGGGGCTGATGGGTGGGGCCAAAAAGGGTTGAATTCACTGAAATTTCAAAAATCTTCTTCTCAAGACCCAGATATGATAAAATCAAATACTCTTCATAGATGGAAGGGTGTTAAGGTGCTTTACCAAATTTGTGAATTTCACGACCCTGGGGTCTGGCATTTCCCCCTGGGGAAGGAGGGGGAGAGGCAAACTTTGTGATGGTTTATAATGGCAAATGATACTTTGAATATTACATGTTGATAACTTGATTGGAAATATAACCTGCAGTTGACAGTTTGATACTTTGTAAATTTTGAGCCATCCCTACCCAAGGGCTATAGGGTGGGGCCCAATGGAATTTCTTCATTTTCTTTGTTTAGAATCAGAGGTGCTAGTTTCAAATACTTTTCAGTCTTACATCTGCATGCTAGATATTGAATAAGGCGGTTTTATTGTTTTTTGTCACTTTGATTAATATTTCTGTTGATGTTAAAAACAAATATCAACTCTAGTCTCGGTATAAATATATCCGGTGACCGTTAAGGCCCATGGGCCTCTTGTTACTTTAAACAACTTCTTCTCAATTACCAAGAGGCCCAGGCTGATGATATTTGACCAGTAGCATGCTGGGATGAAGAGCTACCAAGTTTGTTCAAATGAATGACCTTGACCAACTTTCAAGGTTACAGGGGTCAAATGTGTTAAAATCTTCATACAACTTCTTCTTAACAACCAAAAGGCCCAGGGTACTGATATTGGGCCTGTAGCATGTGGGATGAAGGATTGCAAAGTTTGTTCAAATGAATGACCTTGACCAACTTTCAAGGTTACAGGGGTCAAATGTGTTAAAATCTTCATACAACTTCTTCTTAACAACCAAAAGGCCCAGGGTACTGATATTGGGCCTGTAGCATGCTGGGATGAAGGGCTACCTAGTTTGTTCAAATGAATGACCTTGACCCACGTTCAACCTAATGTTCATGTTTGACATTCAAGGTCACAGGCGTCATATGTTTAAATCTTTTAATAGGTTCTTATGAATCAAACACCGATATTCTGTCTGTAGCTGTATTTTAGTCCACTTTTATGATTACAAGTGTGACATTAATACCAGGTGAGCGATGCAGGCCCATTGGGCCTCTTGTTATGATTCATAATTGTTGTGCTAGATACCACTGACTCTCCCCGGGCGATGGCTGTTCTATCAATTGAACAAGCATAATACGTGATACAGACATTATTTGAACTAATTGCTAAAAAATAATAAGTGTAATCAAATTTTGTATGAGAGAACAGATTCCCAAAAATGGTGAATACAAGTATTGAACTGCTTTCATGCCAGTTGGCATTCATAGTCAGTATGAATTCCAACTGGAAAAAGGCAAATTAAATCCAATTTGAATCTAACATCATCATATGACCTTGGTTGTTGGAAAGACGTTATACTCCAAACAAACATCACAAGAAACAAGTCCGTTTTCTTTTATGAATGATAATTTAGTTTTTTGATTTATTAAATGATATTTGAAATTTACACAAGAATGCATACCATTGCAATAAATTGGATAGTGTTAAGGGAGGTAGCTGGATTATGTTTGGGTATTATCTAAAGTAGATTTATCCTTAACTCCAGTAGAAGATTGTTCTCTGTCCAGTAAAAATCATTGTGTCTATTAAGTATATTGTTCCCATATGTGTGACAATTTGTCAACCAGGTAAAATAAAAGCAACATACAAAATTAAATAAAACATCATGAATTATTATATCAATGTTAAGATTACATTTTACTACTGTACTTTCAGTTTCATGAGGTGGTTTTAAAAATTGTCATATTCTTTAGTTATATGTAGTGATGGGCTGCATGATGATAGATTATAATCGAAAATTGATCGGTTTGCCCTTTCTGATTATCGATTACAAATTCCATAACTGATATAATCGGTTCATCATTGAAATCAAAGTATTTAGATGTCTTCCATGTCAAGTATGCTTTGAAAGTATAATTTTCCCTATATGATTGATAAAAATGCATAGAAGTTGCTTGATAACCATTAATTATGAAAGAACGAAACTTAATCTTGTATAGTTAACAACTCTTTCTGTTGATGTTTTGGTAGTGTTCTCACTTTATTTGGGTGTTCAGTCCCGTAAAATTATGAACCGATTATGCAATCAATCATTGATCGGTTTACTACCTCTGATTACAAACCAATTATCGATTATGATTTTAAACCGATTGCCCATCACAAGTTATATGGATAACTAGCATAAATGACATGTAATCTTTTTCATTACAAATGATGAAATGACAAAGTACATGTATGTACCATATACATATGTCCTGCTTGTCTTTGGTGATACTATCCTATATTTACTGAAAGCTTTGGAACTTATTGATTCCTTTTTTTTCATGCATGTTCCCATCGTGGTTCAGGAAATAATTATATGATATTGTTGAATATCATTACTTTAGTTCAAATTTACCCATGTAAATAAGATACTGTAAGCAAACTCTTTCAGGTTTTATCACAGGAAATATTACCCTGTCTTCCAATGTCATGTAAATGTTGGGGAAATGAAGGATGCAAAATTTGATACACCTGAATCTTAGTAATGAAAAATCATGTATAAAAGATTTAAATTCATTCAGTTAAAAAATGAAGAATAATCAGGAAGACAGATGCTGCTCAGAATGTGTTATCAAATGTTTTTAATCAGATTGAAATGTATAAATAATGACAATTTATATGTATGATAAGATGAAGGACATCTATTAGAAGGAGGAGTTATACATCCACCATGTACCTGACTACCCAGTATGTTTTTCTACCATCTGACAAGTGAAACTGGTTTCTCTTGTTTTATATATGATTTATCGAGGTCTCGTAAGTAATAACAACACTATAATCCAATGTGGGCAATGGAACCGAAACCAACAAGCAAACATTCGTTAGATACATATTACTTATAACGACAGTAAAGAGTAGACAAAGGAATTTGTCAAATTTTCATGGCAATTCGCCCCTTTTACAAGACAAAAACATGAACACTTAAGTACTACAACATATAACAAAGATAAACACAGTCACTATGAGACAATACTAATACATAAAATACATTAACTATAAACCAGTTATCACTTATGAAATATGCAGCTGTTATTGCATATCCCCTTGGTTAGCTTGCAACTGAAGGGGAAAGTGAAGGATAATTATTGTAAATACACATGGGCCTCATGAGCGTCCTGTATTCTTGAAACTTCAGGATCAGTGTTCTTGTTCTTTTGAGTAATATACACTGCCCTCCAAAAGTTCTGTTACATTCGCATTTTTCGATATGTAATTAAAGAACAGAATTATTCCAATCTTGTTTTTATTATCATTTGTATATATATTATTGATTTTATTATGTTAAGTTAACATAATGTTACAAAAATGAGCTATCATGTTAATTGTCAAAAACATTGTAAATCCTTTAACCACGTGCTATAATCACAGCCTGTATACGGTCAGGCATACCCCTCATCAAAGTTCTACATCTCCTAGCAGGTATTCCATCCCATGCAAGCTGTAAGGCAGCTTCAAGTTCCCTTAGGTTTCTGCTCTTGTGTCAGCGAACTTCCAAACCCAGATCTCTCCACAAGTTTTCTATCGGGTTCAAGTCGGGACTGTGGGGGCCACTCCAAAGACCCGGTGGCATGGGGCACCGTCATTCTGGAAGAAATAGTTGTTTCCATAGCCTGGTAGATGTGCTGATGGTACCTCGTTGTTTTCTAAAATGTCAATTTATTTGGTTCCGTTCAGATTTCTTTTCAAAAGAGGGAGGTATCCAGTCCCTCGACTGTACGACATTGCACCCCAAACTGTCACACCACCACCACCAAACTTAACTGTAGGCACTACACAGTCTAGCCACAATTGTTCATTTGCCCTTCTTCTCACATACGTCCTGCCATCTGTTTGGAAAATGGTGAACCTAGACTCGTCGGTCCATAAAACAGTCGACCAGTCCACCCATGTCCAATTTGCATGGTTCTGTGCAAATGTACCCGACGATGGGTAGTAGTCAAAAGTGATTTTTTCGACAGTAACACAATCTTTCAATCCGACACTGTGTAATAATCTCCTCACTGTGGTATTCGACGCCACCACACTATTTTGGATCCACTCTGTTCGAAGCCCCGGAACGGTATCCTTGCAATTTCTGAGGCAGGCCCGGACTAATAATCTATCATCTATCGAGGGGTAGAAATCGGTGGCTGGCCAGAACGTTCTCGATCCTCATAGTTCCCGGTATCTTGGAACCGTTAAATAGCCCAGTACACGTTTTGTCCGAAACAAAAGAGAAACAGTAAAACAACTATAGACAGGTTCTGGATAAGAAAAGTATGCAAATGCACCAAAATCCGCGATGAAAACATTCACTTACCTGCTGGTTCCAAGAATCCTTGCAGTTTTGGCGGCAGCAACACCATTGCGATGGTAGAAAACACACTGGAATCGTTCTTCTCTTGTCATTCGCTGCATTTCCTCTCATGAGTATTTGCAAAGTGATGGAATAGAACAACTATACTTAAGGGATAACAAATAATCAATGAATGGTGAATAGTGATGTATTTTGTCATTTTGAATTAAATTCAAATTAAAGACTGAGTAACATTTGAATAAATCTAACAAATCTCAAACATCTGAGATTTATGTAAAATGTGAAATAACAGAATTGTTTGACAAAACCCTTTTTTTTGTGATTCAATTTGGATAATCAATGATCGCAAATCATCTTAATCACATGAGCTCCCTTTTCATCAATAGAAAGAAAATTATTTTTTCCAATAGTTTTGTCAAAGATAATTTAATTTCAGCAAAATTTAACATATGTAACAGAACGTTTGGAAGGCAGTGTATAATCGTGACACAAATTTGTTACTATTGATTGATGCATGATTTAAAACTATTAGGAATTTCTTGTCGCAGCTTAATTTTTGCCTTTTTTGCCCTCTGTTGTGAGAGAGAATTTATCATTATAGCAATGTTTGTAAATAACCTAATATACATGTAATTAAATGTAAAAGACAAATTCAATATTTGGCGAAAATGGATTTTACTATCGTAGTGCGACGATTTCCCTGTATACATTACAGTAATTTGAGAGTACAGATTTGTTACTAATGTGGATCATATGAGAGAACGCAGAATCGTGATTTATATTGAGACACCAGATCTAGATTTGTTTCTGGTTCATTGAATTTTTAATATTGCAGCACCAGATGTTATAGCATTGGCTAATTTCCACTGTTTGGAATGTAGGCCAGGTGCAATGGTCTGGTTCCAGCTGACAGTTAAACAAGCAGTACTTCCTGGCAGCTGCCTGTAAATTATTAGCATTTTTGTGTACAGGTCAGCAACTCAAATGTAGATTTTTGTAAGTCAGTTTCGTAGGTGTTTATAACTTGATGGTTTATGAAACTCAATAGGGTCTGATTGACCTAAGCGGACATAACCTGCTGATCTTAAGTACTTTCAACCCATATCATCACTTTTACACCTATTAGTCATATCACTGATGCACAGAGATAACATGGGGAAATTTCAGTCTAAGTAAAATGACTGTGATCAGTCTTAGCATATAAAATTTACAAATCATAGACAACAGTTACATATTATAACTAATTATAGCCTCCTGAATTTTTTACTTACAATTAATGTACATTTAGTGATTGATAATTATTCTTGAGAATAAGTTCACTCTATCGGATAGAAATCATAAGCATTGTTTGTTGGGCATCCTTTATAGTGTGTAATTGGTTGGTATATAATATGCTAATATAGATTATTTGGAAGAATCTGAAACAGATTATGAATTGATTAATATTCAATTTGGTTATAAATTTTCATATATAATCCATTTTATTCATCAGTATTTTCATAGTATTCTGACAATAACGGGAAAAGCAGTATGTTTTTTTTATGCCATCAATTTATGATATTTAAAATAAAAAAAAAACAATCTAAAATAATCAGTTTAAGATTTCAATCTATCATTGGAACAACTGTGTACATGTTATATTGTGAAATGTCAACCATTTTCGTTCGTTTGTTCTAGAGGTCTGAATTGAGGAGGTTGTTGATAGATTGTGTATTTTTCATGACATACTTTACTGGTGGATTTTGATGTGTCATCTGCCTTGTTTTATTATATATATTATATATCATTAGTGACATAGGTTCAATGATGTAGGCCGTTACACACATATGTATAGCACTAGTTTGTACTTACAGCGGATACATATATATAGTCTAATATGTGTTGGAAAATTGGCGACAGGAAAGGTAAAGTGATACACACAGCACATACGCATACTCATGTCCTTTATTAGTCAGTGACACAGAGGTAACACAGAGTACACAAACACCCACACTGTACAAACTCTACTATCAAATTATTGTCATTTTCATGTTGTCATGCTTTTGGATATTAAATCACTATATATAACGTGGATTGTGAGAAAATGAAGTGTTTAAGATAAATGACGCACCATCTGTTGAGGAGAAAACTAGATGATGTTACTCTTTAAATATTAGCACACTTGCGTACGATATTACTAGTATCAAATAATTTATAGATTTGATGTTTAATTTATGGTTATTGAATGGGGATGGGGGGAGAGTTGAATGATAACAAGTTAAACTTTTGTGACAAAATGTTCTCAATCAGTGAAGAGACGGTAGTTGATATGAACATTTGAACCTAATGTTGTTAAAAGAATATTACAATACTGATCATTGTATTGCATATGTAGGGTTGTTGTTCTTTACAGTAACTTGCACTATTGCTAACTATTGAAGATACCTATGTATGCTGCCTATCATATCAAATAGATGTAACCACCGTCTATGATACATCAAATCTCCTTGTAATTACCGTAATGTTGAACAATCACCTATATGGGCTTCCCCGTATTGTTACAGAACTGGTATAGACTACCATCTGTTGTAAGAGTTCATTTATGTGTGATAGTTCAAATTGCTTCAGTTGTATAAGATTCATGATATATACAGAGTTATAAATCAATGCAGGTGTGAAAAATGAAAAAAAATAATGAAAAAGACTTCACAGTATGTATGGCCTATAGCTACTTAATAATATGTTGATTTTACTACCTACAGGCAATACCAGTCTCTGATGCGACCTGGATGATTTAGCTGAAATCTGACCTAGGTGTTGCCATGGAATTACTGGAGTTGGCACGCCACCTGAAGCAAGAACAGCTGTTTGTAACATCGGAGCGCTTTCAGCTGCAGAAGCTGTTTGACGAAGTGAAGCATGTTGCCGAGGGCCTGTACCACGAGTCATGGGTCACGCGGGAACAAAAGGCATGTCTCGACAGTCTTATCTTCTCACCTCAGAATATGGCACCCAAAGAGTGTTGTCGTAGGGCAAATCATCTACAGTGGACAAACTTTGTAGACAGTTACAAACATCTTAGTTATCATGATTCCAAGTATGGAGAATTTCTCGCCTTTTTGCGGGAGAATCCAAGTCTTCTGGCCCACTGTGTAGAGACTGGAGAGAAATCCAGCAATGAATACACTCTCAAAGTGGTGCCTCTGCTGGTGTCTTCCGTGTGTGGGAATTGTCTCCTCCTGGAGGACGAACAGATAGCCCTCCGGATGATGACCACACTAGCAGAACTTCAGCTGGCGACTAATGATGACCCTCGACGACTACTTCGCAAAGGATCCTGTGCTTTCAGTGTTATGTATAAGCTGGTCTTAGACTCGTTGTTTTCAGCGAAACTGTTTCTTACGGCTGCTCTCCATGATCCAGTTATGCGTTTGTTGATGGAGGATGAATGGTTTTATGATATTGATCCACAAAAAGCTCTTGTGCGGTTTCCTCCACAGGAACGTATGAAGAGATTTGGTGAACCAGGTACTGACGATTATACAAAGAAGTTTCAAGAATACAGAACGTTCATTGTGGACAAACTAGTAGTACTTGCAAATAGATTTATTAATTCACTCAAGAACAACATCCATTGTTTTCCAGCGGGAATGGGATGGCTAGTATCACAAATTTACCACATACTGACCAAGGCAGGTAAGCTATCGGGAGAAAAGGTACAGGCAATATGTGCTGACCTTGTTTTCTCCTTGTTCCTCTGTCCCGCTATTTGTGATCCTGACCCTCATGGTATCACGTCCGACATACACATCAGCCACATCGCAAGACACAACCTGATGCAGATTGCACAGATTATACAGGTTCTGGCCGTGTCACAGTGGGAGGAGGGCTCCAGAGTCACAGACCTGTACGAGAGGTTTGAAAAGGTAATGCTTGTTACATTGCACATGTACAATGTCCCGTATCAGTATGACAGGTCTATAAAGTGACACTAATTATTACCTGTAGTATGAAATGCGATGAAAGGACATGGTAACAACATAAAATGTATTACAGATTTTGTCTTTAAAACATTATTAAATATCTCTGGGTTAGGAGGGGTCTACTGGCTCATAGACCCTGTCTGGTCTATAAAGACCAAAGGGGTCTATGAGCCCGTAGACCCTTCCTAACCCAGAGATAACGAATTTGTCACCCTGACAAACTTTGATAACCTTTTTTTTTGAAAAATTATAAGTCACTTTGTGAGTTTGAGTTGTACCTGACTGCTACCAAAATAGCCCTTACCGGACGCCTTTTGGCAATATTTCGGACAACACACAACCATATTTGTAATAAGCACCCTAGTGGCCCCCTCATTGCCTGTTTCTTTGAATTTGCTGCCGTTTTAGATTGCTTGTAGGCTAATTCATCATGTGAATGATTGGCAAACCTTGAACGCTTGTGTGTGTCATACGCCATCTTTATTGTTATGAAGAGCGATTTTAGTTTGAGTTATCTACCCTCGCACATGCTTTTATAGACCCCGGCGGAGTTGGGTCTATAGAAATATAGACCCTGCCAAGATATCCAATCAGAAAGAGTGTTACAAATTAGAAGGGTGACAATATTACATATCAGCACTGACAATTTATTTTTACCTGATATCTTTAACAAATTCATAATTATATAAGTACATTAATTTGGTATCCTGTCAAAAACTTATATTTTCATGTTCTTGTGTGTATAAGGGTGAAAATGTTGCCTGTCTTTCTAGCATTCATTGGATGCAATGTAGCTGTACAGAGTTGATGAATTAGATTACATTTCACATGTTTAAGTCATGAAATTATAGTTACGTAGCTCTGTTTAATCATGATAATAATTCCATTGATAAGTTTCTTGAAAAATGTTTCTGGTTGTATAAACCTAAACTTACATGTACATATGTAAGTGGTATTTTATTTTTTAACAGTTGTTTGCTACATTTACATGTATGTGTATTAACAGGGTTGTGTGTCGGGACTGTTGGATGCATTAATACATGGTATAGGTACAGAGCTGCCTGGGACAGGGATTGGGCTTGGCCACACCCAGAATCTGACCCGCTCCTCCGTACTCATCACCTTACCCCAGCTCAACATGGTGGTACGTATTCAAATATTAACAGCCCAACGATGTGAATAGGATTTCAAGGTAAGGGATGTATTTAAATGTGAAAATGCCTTGCCTACGTGAGAATGTTCAGATTTTATAAGATGTTTGGATGTAAATTTAATACACACAGGATGGCCATATATATATATGCCTGTTTTCTAAACATAATGTAAAGATGGAGTTTAGTTGTCATTGATAGTTAGTGGTAATAACTCTGTAACATGAAACATTCACTGTACATTTACTATGAGAATAGCAGGTGAACAACATGACTAACTCAATTGCAGGTACATTACAAACATACTGGTAATTGTCAGAAGGGTACCACCCATTGTTTCATGGTTTCCAGTGTTAATTTTGTATTGTCCTGTGTTGAGTATTTATCTAGGTCTGTGTTACGATGGGTAGGGTTACTGTGCTCACTGTTGTATTGGGATAGGTGTGTTTTATCTTACATGTTGGGTTCTGTGGTCAAAGTTTTATTTGTTTTAAAAAGATGTTTTCTGTTTTGCAGGTAGGGTTTCTGCGCTCTGTGCTGCCTATAGTGGATGAGAGTGTGGCTGAGCGTAAACAACTAGAGGACCTTATCCAGGGTCTACCCTCCAATCTCAATACCAGCACCAACAGTTTGGTCAGTACGCCCTCACAGACACCACCAGGTACACCATCCAGTCAGAAAAAACTCTCCAAAGGTTAGTATTATTACCCAAAAACCCTGACCCCTCACAAACCCCAGCTGACATACCTCCCATCAGAGCAATCCTCACCACACAGCTCTCTGTGGAAAGATATCAAAGACAGGTTTCATTGGTATCCTTTGATTTTCTATGGTAGAAAATAATTCTTATGTAATGTCTACAATTTTTTTTTTTTTTTAATTTTCACAATTTTGTTGTAGTGGTCCATGCATTTTTCTGCATATATATTCCTTATTATGAGCTTTTGTTAAACAGGTGCCAAGAAGAAGCTGGCTTTGACCCCAGGGACTGGTAACCATGATGATGCTCTGTCACCTCAGCCAGGGGACACAGACTCCTCAGCAGGAAAGGAGGCAGAGGATGTTTTAATTCTTTCCCTTGGTACAGATATAGACTGTCCTGGTATGATGACAGAAAACAAGGTTTTATCATGGGAACAGGAAAATAAACGTCGGAAAGTAAAATATCAAACACCAGCCGGTTTATTTGCTGGAGATGGCCCTCCAGTGGAGATCCACGAAAAACGTACCCGCTTCTCTCTTTCTCAGGATCAGGAATCTATAGGTAATCAATAATGATAACAACTTTTTATAGCAGTCTGCATCAGTGTGCTGTCTGACTTTGTGGGGGTGGGGGCGGGGGCTGCAACATTAATTTACCTTATATTTTGACCTTTTGAAATATGTTTGCTGTAAGCAAGTTGGCAGATGAAAATGGAGGCATTATATCAAGGTTTTACTGTAATTCAACACAAAGTAAGCTATTCCATCCATTACAATGACAAAATTTATATAAAGTGTATCTTAAGTGGTAAGAAAGAGAAAAACTCCTAGAAAGAATCAATTTGACCATGTCTTGATTTATATTATTATATATCAGGAAACACAAGTGATATCCAGGAGGCTATATCAGAAGCTGCATCCAGTCATTCAGTTGGGTCAGTGGATATGGAGAATGATGACGACAATGATAACTTCTCAGATATGATCTCTGCTAATGTGAGTGGGCGTGGCACCCCTAATATCAGTGGACGGGACACACCCCTCTCCCAGGCGGAGAGTGAGCAGGAACAGGAGGCCCCAGCCCCAGCCTTACCAGAGACAGTGCAGAAGTCAAACAGGGTGGATGTCACCGACAGATTTGGAAAGTTTGAATTAGAGCGTATGTAGTTTGTGGCAGATTTCTTCTTCTTTTTAGCTAAGAGTCCAGATATAAACAGGGGTATGATATTTAAAGAGTATTTTTTTATCTGATAATACATTTCCTTACTCAAAATTATAAATATTATAAAGTAATAGTATTAATTTAAGGACATGAGTATTAAAAAAACAATTAAATCTCTTTTGTCCGTTTTTGTATTGAATTTGGTATTTAGGCATATCATTTCTATAGTTCTATATAAATTTAAGTCTTTAAGAATACAGGAAGCAGGATTTTGATGTAAGAAAGATGATTTACCAAAGAGATGATCTCTAATATGTTAGATCATTGAAGACTAAGAGTTTTGTATGTTAGATTATTGAAGACTAAGAGTTTTGTATGTTAGATCATTGAAGACGAAAAGTTTTGTATGTTAGATTATTAAAGACTAAGAGATTTGTAATCTGTGTATTGTAGGAGATGAGACAAAGTCTACAGTGAGTGATACATGGAGTACTGATGTCCTGGCTAGTGACTCTGAGCCTCCAGAACAAAACCAGTTTGATCGTCTGGAGGAAATCCGCGAGGAGATGGTGCGACAGAGTCTGCTGGCAAGGAATGATGTAAATATTTACCCCCGGTTATTGTTTTTGTGATTGATTTTGATTTGTATTTATTTAAGTAAGTTATATAATAATGTATAGAAAAAAATGTGATACCACATGATGTTATTTTATATTATGAAATTATCAAATAAAAGAACCTTTTTCTTTGAATGATTTGTAGCAGGTTTGGGAGGAAATATATATTATTGTTTATTTAGAGTTTAGAGTCTACATATGCTGCTGTATTGACCAAGGCTACATTCGCATATACTGGTTGAAACGGTATGTGTTGCGCAGAAATGTTCCACGATAAACGAACGCACTTGGACCGTTCTATAAGCAGAGCTAAAAATGCACAGTTTCGGAAAATAAAAAACAGTGTTGCAAGAATATTATTACCTTCTTTCATCGGTCCACTGAATTACGTAACGTATCTTAAAAACTACATGTGACTTGACATTGTTTTAGAAAGAAATAACGCAAACGGGCAAAAGTCAGCATTTTAGTTTCGGTCAGGTTCGTCTGGACCCCTAAATCTACACGTACCAAATTTTCCTGAGGTCAGCCTCGGTCCAGATCCATCATACCTGTTGTTTTCTTTACAGGTTCAACTGTTTCAACCGGATACCCGAATGTAGCCCTACTGTTGTACCTCTATAAAAGCAAAGCAGTTTTAGAATGATACCTATGAAAATAATCCTGTTTTAAAAATAACATTGAAAAAGTTCAGTGTTGTACAATACTCCTTTCATAAAAATAACCGTTTTGTAAAAATAAAGTCCTAAAAGTAACCTGTAAAAACTACCAAGTTTTAAAAATAATTCTGTTGTATCAGCTTCATTGATGTATGAATAACCCTGTTGTAAAATAATTTATGCATATAGTGTTGTAGATATTTTCCTTTTTGGAAAACAAATTAAGGCTTATTTTAGGAATGTTTAGAATTAGAAGAGTAACAGCACTCAAAGTTTCACAATATTATATATTTTCCTGTTTGACGTTGGTTAACTTTATGTTGACTGTTTGATTTAGACTGTGTCTGACTTGACTGTTTGATTTAGATTGTGTCGGAGGTATCAGAGACTGTGTTTGACTTGACTGTTTGATTTAGATTGTGTCTGAGGTATCAGAGACTGTCTGACTTGACTGTTTG